AAACCAAAACCTTGTATGAACGAAATATTATACATAATGAAACATAAAAAATTAAAGTTAACAACTAACAATTCTATAAACGTAAGAAGTACTATTTACACTTTAAAAAAAACAACATTATATAAACTTCAAAACAAATTTATTCGTAACTTAACTTCAAATGTAATGTCAATCATAAACATTAATAATAACCAAATAATACTATACATTAGACTAAATATTTGAGTTAATTATTTATATCATAACTAATTATTGTAGGTACTCAATAATATATTAGTATGTTTTGGAAAACATATTAGAAATTTACATTGGATATGATACAAGTTTTATAGGAGTTTTAAAGTTTCGGGTTCTTTCGGATATCCATTTAAATTCGGGTTCGGTTCGGGCAATACCCATAACCCGAAATACCGTAAAATAAGATCCATTCGGTACTTATGTCGGGTTCGGATCGGTTCGGGTTCCTTTTTATCGGGCCGGATTCGGTTCGGATTTTCGGGTTCGGTTTTTCTGCCCAGCCCTACTACACACTTACGCAATACTTGTAATTTAATTTATTAAACAGATATGGTTTATGAATTAGACGCAATAATCCCAACAAAGCAGACAATAATTATTCATGGTCTCCTGTTTATGGACCATGAGATTATCTTTCAGTCGAGAGGCAGACCGTACCTCACATGAAATTTGAAGTCGCTGTAGGCATAGGGCTTGAACTTGGGAGCAGTATCATCGCCTGAGAATAGTTCAGGCAAAGGTCCAACGACTTGATCAAGGTTAGGTTCCACAAAAACCGGCCACGAGATTCTTGTCTTTTTTGTATCCATCGTAGCTCTATGCTCCGCACTCTTATACTTCCCATTACTCATCCTCTACAAAATCCACCATTCCAAAAAACGATAATTAACCTAAATTCAGACCAATCTCTTTGACCTCTTGTACTTTTGTCTTTTTTTTTTTAAAACATCTATTATATTAAAAGAGAAGTCATAACTTACTTCATGTGTGATATTTTAGTTTGGACCATCTTTAGAGTTTTATAAAATTTTACATAACATTATAATATCTTTTCATATCTTTAATATTTGTTTGAAATATAAATAAATAGTTTTAATAAAATTATAACAAAATCTTTTAAAAATCTTTTAGAATCTTTTTCAAGATATAATTTCAAAAATTATTTGATTAGAATTTTAATTATCATAAAATATAATTAAAATTTTAATTCATTTTTAATTTATAAACAAAAAATCAAAATTCTGTAAAATACTTTTAACAATATCCCAAAATTTTGTTTATGTATTATGTAAGTCCAACTTAATTAATTTTTACATAGATTTCAAATTGAGATATAAAACAAAATATATAAATTAGTAATCTTACATAATAGTGTTTTTAAAAATTGTTACAAAATACAAATTTATAAAATTTATATTAATAATATTATAAGTCACATAAAAATTATTAGAAAATTGGATAACATACATAATCAAATTATACTTATTTATTGATAAATTTTATTATATAATTTCAATATTTTCGTATTAAAATACCCGCACGGTTGTGCGGGTCGAAATCTAGTTAACTATTATTAGCACACAAAAATATATAGAGTGTTATATATTAGCAACTACTCCCTCCATTCCATTTTATTTGTCGTTTGAGAAAAAAAATTCGTTTTAAAAGAAGTATTGTTTTATAATTTTAATGTAGAATTTATTAATTTTATCTACTTTTCTATTTCTATTGGTTAAAATGTGGTTAGCTATATAGTTAATTGTGTTTTTATTTTGAAAATATATAAAATTAAATGATTTCACACAACTAAAATAAAACGGAGGGAATATAATTTTAAAAAATGATTCCTTTGTTTTCTAATTAATTTCTTACATGAAACTGATCGGCAATGATGACGAGGATCATGGAATCATCATACTTGACGTCGATCCAGTTATCATCCTTGAATGCCTGAAGTCCATGCACTTCATTAGCGATCAAGAACGTGACACCATTAAAATCAGTGTGAGCAGGAGCTCCATTATTCAAACCAGGATCCGGACACGGCGGATAGAAGATGAGCTTCATCAGATACTCCACCTTTTCACCTCCAAGACCTTCCTTAAAAGCCTCACGACGTAACCCTAAGCCTTCTGATAACCACTCCATGATTTTCTCCGACAACTTCTTTATATGTTTTGCATACTCCTCATTCACCTCCCTGTAGTCTGGAGAGTTCTTAGGCCAGAAACTGTAGTTGATTCTCTCCGGTGGCCATATCCTGTGAAAGAGATGATCAGCCCAACCTTTGAAGTTGGTTGTGTATCCTTCTATGTCTGTGGAGTCTTCTGGCTTCGCTACGGCTTTCTTGGCAGTCTCTGGAAGCTCGTGGAACTCAGTTCCCACTTCCTTTAGCCGCTGTATCAGCTCCTGGGGGATCCCGTGGTTAACCACGTGGAAAATCCCCCATTCTTCGCTCGCTTTCACCACGGCACGTGCCACGAGATCTTTGTTAGGGTTACTTAGATCGATGACGGGGATTTCTTCCGGGGACGGAGGAGCTATGTGGTTGTATTTCTCCATCTCCATCGTGTTTGTTTCTCACAACACTCTCTTTTCTACTTAGTGGTGTAGGTGTTGAGTGGAGGGAGAAAGGTGTGAGATTGGTTTATATAACAAACTAGATTTAAACGTATATTGCCCACTAGTGAGATCATGATTATATATGCCATTTAAAACATGATTAATTCGGTGTTCTTAATCTCGGGTTAATTATGGTCTTACCAACTTTCAAATCTATTTAATGTTTGACAAATAATTTAAAAACTTCTATAGCTAGGGTTAGACATAGCCTGGTCAGGTTAACTAAGGGTTAAGGATCAAAATACTCTAAATTCCAGAGTATCTGAATAAAAAGCTGTGTAAATTAAAAATAAAATCAGGTACTAATTTGATGTTATGTAACCTAACGACTAATATTACTGCATCCACCCCAACTATCACAGTTGTTTTCTTTCTCGTTGGCAAGGAGATGCATATTGTACATATTTTTGGTGTACGTGATTCACTTTCGAAGCATAAAATTTAGTATACTGCAACTGTTGCACATTAGGTACAGCGTTATATGATAATAATAGGTGTTGAGTTATTGTCATTACGGTATATAGTCATGACTATTTTGTATCATTGCTTTTTCTATAAGATATAGTTTTTTTTTTTGTCACTGGATATAGTTATATTGTCAAAGATCGTGAATCTCGTGCAAACTCGAGCAATCGCAAAAGTCATTGTCTACACAATCACGCCCGGCTTAACGACGTTATGGACCTAGTGCATATATATTGTTTTCCCCCAAAAGTTATAGTTATCTCTTTAAATTTACAAAATTATGATCCAAAGTTATATATATTTCAATCTTTCTAATAAGAAATCGTTCATATATGGTAAAATTGTAAGATGATATTTCATTCTTATACTTATATTTTCATGATTAAATTTTTCTATATACTTTTTATGTTATTGATTTTTTTTTTTTGAAATATCATATATACATGATACTGTATTTATATTTTTTTTTGTCTATCATCGTGAAAAACACAGATTCATGACGACTCAGTAAACTAAACTGGAAACTTTGAATCCATATGTATGATGAAGGTAGGTTGATTTCGAAATAGAATTTCCCAATGTAAGGATAGTTGCAAACTTTTGTAATTAGATAGTTAACTAAGTAAAGATATATTAAGTGTATTACACAATGTAAGGATAAGTTTAATCAGATCTATAAATTGTACGTGTTTAAAGTTTAGTTGAGTGATTACCATTTGATTCATTAAATTTAACAATTAAATTTTATAAGTTAAATTTTAAGCAAAAAACTAAAGTTTATTTTTAAAATAAATAAAATAGTTTACAAATAATTATTTTAGAAAAAAAGAAAATAATTATATAAGTTAAACTAATTTAAATACTATCAAATTAGAAAATTAGACTAAATGAAAAAAACCACAAATGATTATTTTATACTTTTAAAAATTAATAAACTTTTAAGATTAAAAATAATTAAATGTTTTACTAAAAATATTATTTTGTACATAGCGCATAAACGATCTACCTGAATTCACGGAAAATATATTAAAACTGAAAAGAAAAGTTAATTTGACCCAAAACAGAGGTCCGGAAACAGAGGTCCGGACCGAAAATCCTATTACACAAATGAGTTTCTGAGAGTCGCCTTTGCCAGAGCATCATCAATACAAATACAGAGGATAGAGCTTGAATATCCATGGTGATGTCCCAGGATACTTGGGCATAGACATACTAAAGCATTCAGTGCATAATGACAACAAACACACCCACCATTCACTCAGGCGACTATTCACAAATGCATTCAGTGAATATTTAAAGAAACAACAAAGACACCCACCATTCAGTGCCTGCTAAAGCATGTGATTACAGTGCTTTAGCACTAGATCTTTCTTTTTTTTCAAATCTTTTTGTATGCTCCAATTACTGTGGAGATATTTCAGTCTCTTTAAGAAGCTGCCAGAGCAAAGACTTAACTGTCCCTCTTGTGCCTGATGATTTCATAGAGATCATACTCAGGCGTGGTCCAAGGCAAGATACAGAAACACACAAGAATTGTCTAGTTACTGCAGCTAGTTACGGTATAGTAACTCTGACGCATAACTCTTGAAACTAATTGAAATAAAATATAAGAAAGAACACACATTATTGACCTTTTGTTTTATTCTCAGTGAACAAGGTTCATAAAGACATTGCTATGGACATAGAAGCAGACTTAAGCAAGCTTCTAAAAATCAAACAACAACGAGCTCGTCTGAAGCTTGTAGCAACTAGACCTCAGTGAATCAGAGCTTTTTTAGGTTTATAGTATCTCAACAACACCACGGCTCACAATTTTCCCTTGGTTGAGATCTTGAAACGCTTTCTCTGCATCTTCAAACTTGTACTTACTTGAAACTGCGTTTGTCAGATTGAAGATCCCTGACTCTGCCAGTTTCACTACTTTAGGTAGATCCTGCCTTGCTCTTCCTCCATATGACCCTATCACTTTTATCTTCACATTTACAAAGAGAATATATTTAAAAGACAATCATAGGTTTTCCAAGTAGTAGTGTCAAAGAAAGCAACCTTCCTACGAACAAGTCTGTTAATGTCTATTTCTCCAACGGAACCAGCTTGTGAGAGTCCAATCATCACAGCTTTACCACCATCTTTCACACTTAATGTGCACTGCATGAATGTCTGAGGCTTTCCCAAGGCTTCCACAGCAACATCAACACCCATCCCACCAGTTATTTCCTGCCCAAACAGTAAAGAACAAATCAATATCTTATAAATTACAAGGAACATAACTTTAAATCAATCATACCCTTATCCTATCAACAGCATCTTCTTTAGCAGCATTGACAACATGAGTAGCACCAAGAGTCTTAGCCTTCTCTAATTTATCATCCTGAACATCCACAGCTATTATATCAGATGCTCCAAAAGCTCTAGCTATCTGCAAACAACTGAAAGAAACAAACTCAAAGATGGTTAACTATTATAGTCATACAAAATCAGTTAATAAAAAACAATGACACATTTAATATAACATACCTTGAGCCAACACCACCAATTCCAATAACAGCAATGGAATCTCCAGGACGGATCTCAGCAGCATGAGCCATAGCACCATAGGCAGTAAAAACAGCACACCCTAGAATGGCAGATTCAGTGTAAGGCAGAGACTCTGGGAGAGGAGCTAAACCGTGTGCTGGTGTGACACAGTACTCAGCCATCCCTCCCATACTGTACATATACACTGGTGAATCTGCATGAAAGTGAGAAATGTAATCAAAATAAAAAAACAACCATGCTTCTCCCCTTAATATGATGCAACCAAAGTTGTTTTTTACCATCATGACGCAAAAACAGACGAGTTTCTCCATCGTAAAGAGTTCCTTTGGCTCTGTTAAAAGCAAAGAAGTCTTCACATAGATCATCATGACCCTGTATTCCAGTAAAAAGTATCAGCTAAGAACTTTAGGCCTCCAAAAATTTTGAAGAAAACTACATAGTCATGTCATAGCTCATAGGAACTCAAAAATTTTCTTTTAAGCTCCAAATTTGGAAAGAAAAATTATTTAAATTGTTTAATAAATTAGCTATGGCACCCTAAATCTCAGAGCCAACCCTCTAATGAAAGGATTACACTTTCTTTCTCACCTTAGCACAATAAGAACAGGTTCCACAGGGCATAATGAAAGCTCCAACAACACGAGAACCAATTGGAAATCTGAAAACAAAAAGGTTGAGACCATTAAGGACTGTAATAAAAAAAAATCAAAAAACATATGATTCCAATTAAAAAAAAATGTTATAAGTAAACCTATTGATGATCTTGTGATCAGTAAGAGGACCATGTTCAACAACTTCACCAGTGATCTCATGACCAATAACACAAGGACTAGAGAATGGTATCTCTCCTTTCAACACATGTAGATCAGAGTGGCATACTCCACAAGCTGTTGTCACATACAGCAAATTGAAGAAAAACAATGTTTTTTTTTTAATTTTTAATTTTTATTTTTTTTAAATGTAATATGTAATTAAATTACCTTTGGTTTTGATGAGAATCTCATTCACTTTTGGTCTTGGAATGTGAAATTCTTCGATGGTTAGAGGCTGATTCGGCTCGCGAAACACGGCTCCGCGCATGTATCCGCCGGAGCTCACGTGATATCCGGCGATGGAGGACGGCGGAGGGGGTTGACGATCATCTCCGCCGGAGGCTCCGGTTTGTAGAGATCTAACGGAGGGAGAAGAGGCAAGGGAGAGTCGAGATAGAGAAAAGAGGTTTTTTGCGGCGGAGACGCGGCGGAGAATTGGAGCAAACGCCATGAAAAAGACGGCGGAGGTAGATTGAAGATATTGATCGGAGACAGACACTACTTGAACGTGGTAAGAGAATATGTAGACAAACGTTCAACACTTTTTGAGTTTAGAACTGAAAGACCACGCGCTTGGTTTACAAGGTTAATATATTGTCTCTGTGGGTGTTACTCACGCGTCGATAGTGCGTGTGTGCGGTTTATTCAAGTACACTAAAATGGGCCCACCTCCACGCCTGTCTGTCTTATCTACACAGATATTAAACTAGATCAGATGAGAGAAATGGGATTGATAAAGGCCCAATATAGGCATTTATTGATATATATTGTTCCAAGCTGGCCTAATTAATTTGACAATTTACTTGGTTTGGTTTGTGTGAAAGTCTGAAGCAAGTTTTTCTGAAGTCATGGCCCAAAAGTTTTGGGGTTGACCAAGCTTTGTGTGTTATGGGCCTTTTTGGGCCTTTACATTGTTTTGTTGCTGTTTTCAAATAGATTTCACTATTACTACAGCGTTTTTCTCATATTAGTTGTGATCAACTTTAAATCTCTCAACTGTGGACTCTTGTACATTTGTTGTGTTACTGCAAACAAGTGTAAACTATAATTTGATCAAAAGTAGTGATTTATTAAGATGACTTTATCAAAATTTGTTTACAAGAAAATATATCTATTTGGCTCTAAGACCAGGAACATTTTTGAGACCCATCTTACCAAGAATAAGTTTAGGTATAGCAGGAGGATTGTCAAGTCCCATACTACGACTAAACTCGTTAGCCAACTCCACCAGCCTCTCTTTGTCTCTTCCTATCATCTTCTGTGAGTTGTAGTAACCCAACCAAGCCTGGTACGCCGCCTCCTTGTTCCTCATCTCCACATGGCATAGAGCCTTCTGCACCTGTTACATTCAAATTTTCAACAAACGAGATTCAAAGCAAAGGCTTTGCCAAGATCAGTGACGTATGATAGAGGCTTAACCTTTTTAACAGTTTCTGGGTCTGTTGGTGGCAGAGAAGACTTAGTGATGGGTAAGTCTTTAAGAGATGACAAGAAGTATTCCTCCCATGGTGCCAACAACAATATGCCTTCTCCTTCTTTCCCTTTTCTCCCTGTTCTACCGAGTCTGTGTATATATTGCTCTCTGTCTTTTGGCAATCCCACCTAGCACAAGTAAATACATGTATAAATAAACGTATACAAGTAAGAGTTCTACACTATTGTATGATTTGAGTTTACCTGTAACACAAGTGTCACGTCAGGGTAATCAACTCCTCGAGCTGATACATCAGATGTTACGAGAATCAAACCTTTGGATTTCCGGAACTCATTAGAGACCCTTGTCCTGTAACTCTGAGGTTTTCTAGAATGAATCTCTCTCACGTTTAAGTTTAGCTCACCAAGTAGATCAGCCACTAGTTTTGTAACCATAGCAGTTGTACAGAAGACAATGACCTTCAGGAACCAACCACAGAGTTAGTCAGAAAGAGAAAAACATAACTCATGCTGGTGCTGGGGAAGATTTGTTGTACCTTGTAATCTACGTTATCTGCAATGTGTGCTCGAAGAAGTGTGTAAAGAAGAGAGAAATGTTTGTCCAATGAAGCAATCATGTGCATTTGTTTGACCTGTTGATGTGTCTCTCCAGTGCCTTCGTGGACACAATTGATAAACTCGTGATCCCGCCTCAGAGCAACAAGGCACATTTGGCGAACCTAACATATATGAAGAGGGACTAAGACAACAATAAACCAAAAAAATTATGCAAGAAAACTGAGTCAGACCTCTTCAGGGACAGTGGCAGAGAACAGAAACGTTTGTCTCTCCTTAGGAACCGCGGATAATATCCTCTCAATGTCCTTACGAAACCCCATGTCCAAAAGATGATCAGCTTCATCAAGCACAAGAACTTTCACACCCTTTAACCTTGTTGCTAATCCTGGAGTGTTCTCAATATGGTCTTTAAGCCTTCCAGGTGTAGCAACTAATATCTGAAAATCTCAAACAACACTTATTCATATAAAAGACCCAAATACTGAAAGCATACGCATCACATTGCAAGCAATACACTCACCTGGCAAGGATTTGTTTGCATACGCTTTTGCTCTAAACCAAGCCTTGTTCCTCCAATCACAACTTGAACACCAATAGTTGGATGATACTTCAGCAAAGTGTTTGCTTCTGTAGCAGCTTGATTAGCAAGTTCTCTAGTTGGGCATATCACAAGTGCAAGGATCGGAGGTCGTTTATTATCCGGACTTGTTGGAGGAGTTTTGACAACTACTTCGATTGATGGAAGCTTCAAAATAAACAGCAACAATAAGTAAAAGGGTTCAATACACTATCAAATCGCCTAGTTATTATATTTATAGTAAGTCTCACCAAAAATGCTACAGTTTTCCCAGTTCCTGTTTTGGCCTTAGCTAAAACATCTTTACCTGAAAAAAAAAACAAAGAATGCCCACAAAACCAAGGAGTTAAAGAAAGAACTATAAAGCATAGTTCATAGATTCTACCTTGAGACATGTTTCTAAAAATTTTCTTCTACTACTGGATTGCCAGGGTGATACAATCTCTAAATCATGGTACTAGTGGAGCCAATAATCACCAGACAAATAAAAAAGCATACCTTTGAGAATGATAGGGAGAGTAGCTTCCTGGACAACAGTCATTGTCTCGTATCCCGCATCGTTAAGTGCTTTCAGCGATAAGGGAGACAACGGATACTGATCAAATCTATTTTCAATCACACAGCAACAAGTCACTTTACAAAGACAATCAATTACAATGAATCAAACTCTTGCAACAACAACAACATACCTAGTCTTAGTCAAATAAGAATCTGAGCTTTTAACATCAATCTTCTTCTGCTTATCAAACCCAAAAGCAGAAACAGCTTTCTTCTTAAGAAACTCGTAATCTCCATCTTCTTCTTCTTCCTCATCCTCTTCACTAAGCAAACCTCCCATTACTAAACTCTTAACATCCTCATCACTACTCTCTTCATCTATAACATCTCCTCCACGTCTCTGCTGATTCCTTAAACCCTTGTATCCTTCTCTATCTCTAACTAAACCTCTACTCATAAAGTTGGAACCTTTACCTCTGCTACTAAACCGATTCTCCCTAAAGGACTCAACTTTGTTACGAGGGTTTCTCCCTCTGCCGCGATCCATTTCGTCATCATCATCATCGCTTGTGAGATTGACACGTAGTGTTCCAGGTCTGAGATCGGTAACCCAGTTGCTGAGCTCTTCCTCGTCTTCGATTAAGCTCCTTCGTGTTTCGCCTCCGTTAGGTCGTTGAGTGGAGAAGTTGACTGCGAAGTGATTCGACGTGAACGTGAGTAGCCGGGAGAGGAAAGGGGAGGAGGAATTGAAGGAAGCGAGATCAGGAAGAGAATGAGTGAAGAATCGTATTCGGCGAGGGAATCTCAAAGGCATAGCTTTTCTTTAGCTCTTTGTTTAAAACGGAGTTCGCGTCTTCCGGTGGCCGGGAAAGGGTTCAGTCAAGGGTTTTCACGAGAAGCCTGCTTTACAGAACACTAAAAACGACAACGTTTAATATTATTTTGAAACGGTGAAAACGGCACGTCGTTTTTTTCATAACGCTTAGAATTTAGTAGTAGTGTATGATGATGAATGTATCGAATTTTCGAGTTGTTTAACTACTGTCTGTTCTGTTGTATAAATATTTTATTTGTTTCATAATTCTATGTTTTAACCAGGTAACACGCTAAATTCACCTAATGTTCATTCATTTGAGGGCAACTATTGCAATCATTTAAAACTTCAATGATAATAGGGAGTATTTGTTACTCAATCTTGATTTCTTCATTTATTTTCTCACAATTTTTTTGGTAGATTATGTGGACAGATAATATGTGTTAATAGGTTAACTTGAGCCCAAGCGAAAGAAATCCATGCTTCCGGCCGTCATTTTATAAGTGTTTAATAGGTTAAAAATTGTTAGTAGTGTAGTGGTTAGTTATGCATTAATTCACTGAAATCAATTCTCACCAAGTGCAAATTTTTTTTATGTGACCTTGAAAAACTTAAAAACGGTTATGATTAGAAACCTAGAGATGCAATGTTGTAGCTATGTAGAAATGGTAGAATCAGCTATATTTTCACATGTATAATATTTTTCAAATTAGTATCTATAAAAGGTAAGATATTTATGCCAGTTTGTAATTCAAACTGATTATGCTGAACGCTTACAAAAAAAGAAACGGTTTTGATTGGTAGAGCTTAACTTTTAAGAATCCAAACAAATAAATTAATTACGAACTAATGACAACAAAAGAAATTAAAGGATGAGCTTATTAAAGTGGACAACTAGAAACTTGTCTGTTCGATTATTTTGTTAAGGTCAAGTCTATTTTTTTTCCTAATTTTTAATAAGGTCAACCAGGTAGTTAAGAGTTTTAAATGTTAGTTAACTACCTTTTGAATTCATTTGTAGAATTATTAGGTACTGAAACTTTGAAATTTATTCTATTAAACTGATCAATTTCTCAACTACATGGGACATATATCAAACACCAGTGAAATCAAGGGACGTCTCTAGAAAAACAAAGTATTCCCCCGAGATTTTCTCGGGTGACATAAACTTAAAGAGACATAACACGTGGCGGTCAACCAGGCTGTCAGTTGTTAGTTAAAGCTGACAGCGCGTGACTACAATATTATCTCTCTCTCTCTCTCTTCCCCGCGCCAACAACACTTTACCAAGAGAACAGCTTTTCTCTCTCATGGCGGTGTGCTCTGCTGCTTCACCCTTTTATTTATTTATTTAACTTTTTTAAAAAAGTAATTATCTACTGTCCTAATTAAAAAAACCATCAGTACAACAAGTTTCTGTCTTTACGGATTTTAATCAAAATATATCTGATTAATTTGGTGAAGAAGAACAGAAGCAAAAGCTTCTTTCTTCTGTGTAATGCTCAAAGCTGATTAGGGTTTATCAGGTAAAAAAGGGTTTTCACTCTATCCTTATCTAAATGAAACCACTTGACTGTTTGTTTGTTTGTTTGTTTGAGATCTATTTTTGGGTCAGAATGTTCTCAACAGCTTTGATATTTGGACAAAGTTATCAGTTTTGTGACTTTGTCTTGTTCTGTCTTTTTTTCGTGATTGGATTTGTGTCTAGTTCTGGGATTTAGTTTTTTTTTTTGCCAAGCTTTTACCACATATATGCTCACATTGATCAAAATATCTGATCTTGAAGTGTCTGCAAAAAAAATGTGTCTTGGTGGTTGCTCATGCTGAGAATCTTTATTACAGATTAACCAAAGATGGCTTCGGAGCTTGTGAGTTTTGCAACGAGTGAGAAGCTTGCTGATGTGGATTGGGCCAAAAACATTGAGATCTGTGAACTTGCTGCTCAAGATGAAAGGTATGAACACAACCCATAACATTACCAATCTTAATTGTTGTCTTTAATGTTTAATCACAATGAGTTAATGAGTTCTTTTATTGTAAATAGGCAAGCAAAAGATGTTATCAAAGCTATCAAAAAACGCTTGGGGAGCAAGAACCCAAATACTCAGTTATATACTGTCCAGGTAAGGTCCCTCGTCTAAATCTACCATAGAATCATACTTAAGGAGAGTCTCATATCTTTTGAATGTTTTGATAATTGCAGTTGCTGGAGATGTTGATGAACAATATTGGAGAGAGTATTCATAAGCAGGTTATAGATACAGGTGTACTCCCTACACTTGTGAAGATAGTTAAGAAAAAAGTATGTTCCATCTCTGTTTCTGGATGTTACTTCTCTACAAAAAGTTTTGAGAGTTTAAGCTGCTTTAATTTTAGTTTGTGTTTTTTTGAGCACTGTCTTTAGTCGGATTTGCCTGTAAGAGAGAGGATATTTCTCCTTCTTAATGCAACTCAAACCTCTCTTGGTGGCGCTTCAGGGAAATTCCCTCAGTATTATACAGCATACAATGAATTAGTGGTAAGTTTGAAACAACATAACATTCTAATTCCTTGAATCTGTCTTCCCTGAGAGCTTTTCTTTTTGTTATCTCTTCTGTTTACCTCCAGCAAGCAGGAGTTAAATTTCCTCAGAGAGCTAATCCCACACCACCAGTTGTGGTCACTGCACAGGCGGTTCCAAGAAATACACTCAATGAACAACTTGCATCTGCTAGAAATGAGGGGACTGCTCCTACTCAGCAGCGAGAATCTCAGACTGCTTCTCCTTCTAGGTATCTTCTTTTCCACATGTCAGTAACATAAATGTTTGCTTAAGTTTTAAGAGGTCTTATATCTGTGTTTTTTTTAATCTCTTTGCTTGTAGCATCTTACAAAAAGCTAGTGCTGCTTTAGAAGTCTTGAAGGAAGTGCTTGACGCAGTTGATTCTCAAAATCCTGAGGTATATAATAATACACCACCACTATACAAACGTTCTTTGGTTCTTTTGTTGATCTCTTAGTCTGAGAGCTTGATTCACTTTTAACCATTTAGGGAGCAAAAGATGAGTTTACTCTTGATCTTGTTGAGCAATGCTCATTTCAGAAAGAGCGTGTAATGCATCTCGTGATGACATCTAGGCAAGTTTCAGTCTCTCTTGCTTTAGATGACATGTTAAAGGCGTTTTTGTTCTTAAGTAGAGTGGTTTGTGCAGGGATGAAAGAGCTGTTTCTCAAGCAATTGAATTGAATGAACAGCTTCAGAGAATTCTAAATAGACATGAAGACTTACTGTCTGGTAGAACCACAGGGACAGGGACAGGCAGGTCTGCTGCATCCAATGGTTATCATTCCAATCCTACCTCAAACGGTTCTAACGCAAACACTAAATCAAGCAGCTCTATCTCTAAACCAACCCAAATTAGTTTTGAAGATGAGGATGAGGAAGAGGAGCCTGAACAGTTATTCAGAAGGTCTGTATGTCTCCTTACATTACCTCATAAGGTTCTTGGAATCTAAAATGGTTAATTCTTGAATGCAGATTGCGTAAAGGGAAAGCTAGAGCAATGCCTGAGGATGAAGAAAAGCCATCACCTCCACAAGCCTTACTTGGATCAGCAATCCATAATGAAAGACTCAACCGTCCACTCATCCGTCCTTTACCATCAGAGGCATCATCACGCAGCGGTGATAGCCATTCACAGTCTCCACCTGTTGTGATACCACCACCACCTGCAAAACACGTTGAGAGGGAAAAGTTCTTCAAGGAGAAGAAAGTTGATGGTGCCTCGTCGGGTTTGCCAGGTCATATGAGAGGTCTTTCTTTGCATAGCCCTGATGGCAGCAGCTCACGCAGTGGAAGTGTAGACTTCAGTGACTGAAACACACCCAAAAACTTCTGGCTCATTATAAATATATGTATTCTTTTCTTTTTTTTCTACTCTTGCTATGATTAGGCTTTGTTATTTTACAGAAAAAGTCTGTGTTCTGTGTGTTGTTGCTGTTGCTCTGTTGTATCTCTAGTAGAATATTGTCCCCATGAGATCTTGTTATGTATATGAGTAAAGGGTACTTCCTTTCACTTTGTTGAAACATGAGCTATGCTATTTTACAGAGGTGTGTGTTCTCAGTGTACTGTTCTAAAAATCGATTCAAGCAGTGTATAGACGTTAGCGTAGTTGGCAAATCAGATTTAAAGGAAACAACTGTTAAAAAACGATATTTTTAAAATATCGGTTTAGTTATCCATCTCAACAATAATCTTCTATAAGGTGTTTAGACCATGATTAACTCTGATTTCTAGTTTTTCTTAGATTTTAATTAAGAAAGATTAAGAACATTTTTTAAATAAGATATATAACAAAATAAATGATGTCTTAAGAGCTGTTTCTGGCCGAAAATATAAAAAAAAAAAAAAATATTAAATTATAAATTTAGAATTCCAGTTAATAGACCGGAGTTAATCATATCCTTAACAACTTGCTAGCAATTTCTTGAACATTAGTTATTCTTATTTGTGTAATGAAGATGAATGTGGGAAATGTATATAAATGTCACATCAAATTGCTTATAGATAAAATAGATGTTCGAATTCACATAAAACATAAAAGAGAATAAGAGATTGAATAAATATTAAACAACAGAGTGAGATTTTATTTTCTTTAAGCTTTAGAAGACTCTTGGCTCTTATGTGCCTCTTTGACATGCTTCTCATATTCATCCTCTTCCTCCTCTTCTTCTTCATCATCATCATCTTCTTCCTCCTCCTCTTCATCAACCTCTTCCTCCACGTCTTCATCATCTTCATCAAAGCCCTTGACGGCATTAGAAGATGGAGCTGGATTCCTTGCCTCTCCAACGATCTTCATTATGTCCTCCACGCTTTGAAGAGAGAAGCTTGGGTTGTCTCTCTTGTAGTACGCTGCTTGAGCTGAATCTGTAAGCTCCTTTGGTAAGTTCTTCAAGAACCACGGGTGTTTCTTGATCTCTTTAAGTGTGATCCTCTGCATATATTTATAATGAAAAGTTTAGACAAGTAAAAAAACGGTTTCAACTCAGAGAAAATGAGGAGATACCTTAGCTGGATTAGTGACAAAGATGCGAGAGAGAAGGTGTTTGCACTCTTGAGATATGTGAACATAGTCTGGAATCTTGTACTGAACAGCCATTATACGCTGCATAACATTTTTTTTCACAACATCATAAGATATGAGAGGTGAAAGAAAACATTGCTAGAAAAGGAAGAGTTAGTATATTATACTTGGATAGTTTTCCTGAAGTTTCTTGGATCATCAGGGTCTTCAAATGGATAACCACCAACAAGCATCACATAAAGAGTCACACCACAAGACCACACATCCGCATTCTGCATAACACAATAACCAAACCGTTTACATTAACAAGTGAAACATAAAGTTTTCAGACCATTGAAGAGTCATGAGTGATGTTTACCTTTCCATCATATTCTCTTCTAGAGAGAACTTCAGGTGCAATGTAAGCTGGAGTTCCAACAGTTGATTTAGGTCTAGAGTGAAGCAGAGATGACTACACAAAACATATTAATTATTAGATGGGATGACAAATCTGAAGACTAATATAAAGAATGTCACCTTGGAGTAACCAAAGTCACAGATTTTCAACAGTGGTGCAGGACTTCCATCAAGTAGTGTGTTCTCAAGCTTCAGATCTCTATGACATATTTGCTGTATAAAAAAACAAAAACAATCATGCAAACTAAAATAAATAAAAAATCTCTACTTGAGCTTCATAAGATTTTGGTTTGTGTTATGTAAAATACCAGGGAATGACAGTAATCCACACCACAAATCAGCTGTTGAAAGAAGTATCTGGCCTGGCAAACATAAATATTCTTTAACATAAACAACCAAGAAGAGACTCCAAGTTATAAGATATTGAGAAGAAGAATAAGCTCACCTCAGCTTCACTGAATCTACCAGCATTACAGATTCTTTCAAAGAGCTCTCCACCAGAAGCATACTCCATCACAATAGCAAGATGAGTTGGAGTCAGAACCACCTTCAAAACATTAACACTATATATTAACTCCTCTGTTTAAAGTACACTACTAATGTAGTCTAGTGGTAGGTGAATCCGGTGAGTTAAGCAACCCGGGATCGAAGCAACCGCACAACACTAAACATGTGTGGCCAGGTGAAATAGGTCTTTAATTCTCACTCCGAACAACCAGATATGTTTGCCCCCGGTGGACAAGTCCCTAAGGAACTAGTCCGTTGGGCCTTGGATACCCGGGTCCAAAGCAACCCCACAATCTTTCCAGGCTCCCTAAGAAACTAGTCCGTTGGACCTTGGAAATAGGTCTTTAATTCCCATTGCGAACAACCAGATCTGTCTGGCGCCGGTGGACAGGCCCTTAAGGAACTAGTCCATTGGGCCTCGGATACCGGGTTATCAAAAAAAAACGAAAAAGTACACTACTAGCCTGTTCACAAATCAACCAATGACTATACCTCCTTGAAACGGATGATATTAGGATGCCTAAGTGATCTGTGATTGATAATCTCTCTCGCCACATTCTCATCTATCTGCAAAACCATCATATCACCATCAAATGTCAAAACCTTTAATTCAAAATGTTCCATTTTTAACCGAAAGAGAGGAGAAAGAAACAAACCTTGCGACCTCTCTCGATGTACTTCATGGCAACAAGCTCCTTAGTCTCTTTATGCCTAAGAAGACGCGCCACACCAAAGTTCCCAGCTCCCAAGTCCTTGACAACTTCATACTTGTCCATCTCTCTTTACTTCCTTCTCCAGATAAAAGTTTTTAAGTCTTTGAATGTGTCACACACACACTTGGGATGATGAAGTTTGGGGTTTGGTTGGAGAAACTCGTCACATCTTATAAAGAAGCGACGTTCGTGGGGATCTGAGATTGCCTCCCACATGCACACACTCAAGTGTATGTATGTATATGTTGTATGTATCGATGATGGAGGAGTAAACTGAGGAGATGGGTTAATGGGACTGTGCCACGTGAAGAGGTCTTCGCTCGATTTTCGATGAACAGCTTCCATCCAACGGTCACTAATTTTTTAATCTTTATTTAAAATAGTTAATACTATAAAAGTACTCTTCCTTGTTGGTTAATCAATCACTTATTACCTTACTCCTTAGATCATGCTAAATAGAATTTAAGGAGCGCATCACTAATCACTCTGCTAATTTTTCCAAGGGAAATTGCCAGAAATAACACTTTCAAGATACCACTTTTCAACTTTACACTAACCAACTTTACCACTAAAATTTTAGTACTCAAAATACTATTAGAATTTAGGGTTTAGGGTTTTGGGTTTAGGATATATAGTTTAGGGTTTAGTGTTGATTTTTTTAGGGTTTAGGGTTTACTTTTTAGGGTTTAGAATTTAGAGTTTAAGGTTTAGAATTGATATTTTAGGGTTTAGGGTTGATTTTTAGGGTTTAGGATTTACTTTTTAGGGTATAGAGTTTAAAATTGATGTTTTAGGGTTTAGGGTTAATATTTTATTTAATATTTATTTTAGGTATATATAAAGAACAAGTATATATGAGTCTTTTATTCTTTAATAAAATGTGTATTTTTGAAAATGTTCCTTTGTTGATGGTAAACATGAAAAGTGGTACCACCAAAGTGGTATAATTAAAATTCTCCCTTTTTCCAATTTGATTAAATAATTGTAATAATATTTCTAAAAATTATGCTTTAATTTATTTGATGTCTTCTTGTGTGTTGTACGCGGCATGGACGAGGTCGGTTAAATACAGACAAACCACATTGATCGTTTCGATTAGTAATAAATTAATACAATTTGCATGTGTATCAGTAGTTGTCAACCGACCATAAGGTCCATAACTAACTCGCTAAGTTACTAATTATAAGTAATTAATTTTGCATTTGGAGTTTCCAAACCGGCCCATCACGTGACACACTTGTTGATTCAGAACCATTCTTCATGTTCTAATAAATAGCAATGGGTTCAATTGTCAAACCTTATATTAAAATAATATTATGTCATAGTATAATTTAAGGTTTTGATGGAAAAATTTATGAACCCATAACTTAAGAGATACATCTCATTTGAAGTTGTTTCTCGTTACAATGGGCCAAGCTGTTTGCCAACCACGTGGTGTGGTGTTTGCTACTCATACATAAAGTCAAAAGAATGGTCAATTATTTACTTTGTGGATAATATTGTTTTGTATTCTTCTTTTTTAGTAAAAAAAATAAATAAATTAGTATGTGCTTCATGTGTGAAAACGCAAAGGGTCAGACGTATTTTTCTTTATATTTTTAGTTCATTTAAATTCAAGTATATACAACAATGATTTGTACTTATGATTTTTTAAAATTTGTGGATTTAGTTGTCTTGATCCGTGTATTACTACAGACTTATTAGCTGTCAAAAAATGCTGAGATCTATTTGTTACAGTTGGTACGCACATCATTGCTTAAAATATATTAGTATTAAACACAGTATTAGTCAAAAAAAAAAAAATATTAACACAGTAGATGCCTAAACTTAGAGGTTGATTGTTTTGGGTTTTTGGATTAGTTTTTGGTTTCTGTTTTTCCAAAAACCATTTTTCTTCCATTCAAGTTTTTTACAAAATGGTTTTCCTAAAATCTAGGGAAACTAGTTTTTAAAGAGAAACTGTATTTCTAAACAAAAACCAAAAACCAAATTTTTCTAGTTTTTGGCTTATTAAAGGCTTTTACATTTATTTTTATTCAAAAGAAAAACATTATTATTCAACCTACGTAAGCTTTTGCAATTAACCAACACACATATCAATTGACCGCATGAGCACATATAGCTAAGGCATGTTACATATTAATCAACCTAGTAAGTTTTTTCACATCTATGCTATCAAAACAAAGCTTTTTTTTTTTTTCGAACACCAAAAAAACAAAGCTTTATTGTACAAGAAAAATGGTTATAATGTTATTATTATCTAATAATAAAATAATTTGAACTAAAAATAACTCATATAAAATTTAAATATATCAATAAAAAAATTAATAATTTGAAGTTAGTCATACAAAAATAATATATATCCATATATATTATTAATAAATTTCGTGGCACTATATGAAAGGTATTTGAGATCAAATTTTTAAATCCATATGAGATTTACGATTGTTTTATTTTATATTTGCAGTTTTTATTTTAGACTAATGTTATTAATTTCAAAAGCAAAAATCAAAAACTAAAATCTAAAACAACCATTCATGCTTTTAAAAAAACTAAAATCTACTACAAAATCAAAAACTAAAAACTAAAAACCAGAATCTAAAAACCAAAAACCAAAAACTAAAAACCAAAAACCAAAATCTAAAAACTAACAAAACAATCATCACCGTAGTTTTCTTGAACGTAGTTGTTCCATGGGCATTCTGTAACGTTTCATCTTTTGTCAGTTTAAGGCCCAGCCCATGTATATGTTAAGCCCATATAGGAAAAAAAAACTAAAAGTGAGTATAAATGTGGAGTGTTTGTTACGTAATCTGAACCAAGAGACAGAGAGAACAGTAGTACTTAAGAGAAGAAGTGAAACATCAAAATTAGAGCAAAACTGCCCTAAAATGCATTTTTTGTAGTAATTAAACATCTGCTATCATCTCTATTGTCCTCCAAGGAAGAAAAAAAGAAAAGAAAAAAACGTCAGGAGGGTAAAGAATGCAAAACAAGAGACCTACTTAAAAGGTATACATCCTATGCACATAATGAATCAAACTTGCAAGCCAAGTCAATCATTCAAGTCCCCAAACCCGGATGGTTCTATCATCACTCCCTGAAGCCAACATATGAAGATCAGTTGGGTTCCAATCAACACAGTTCACAGCTCTTCCATGTCCTAACAATACCAAACAAGGTCTCATCTCAGATTCTGTTTTCCATATGTATACCTGCAAACAACAACAAAAGAGACACATCACTCTCCATCTCTCTTAAGACTCTATGCTTTATATATGTTAGGGTTTTGTTTTGTATACCTTAGAATCCTCACTTCCACTAGCGATGAATTTTTCTCTATATCCACCAAAGCAAGACCTGATAATAAACCTAGTACGCTTGTGACCAATGAACTCCCCAACCTTCCCTGGCTCACCAACAATATCCCAAAGGTGTATCTCCTCTGCAACTAGATTCACTAAAAGATACTTGTTGTCACTCGAAAGACAGAACGAGGTAACCATGTTTCCAGCTTGAATCACTGTCTCAGCTCTTGTCACTCTATCAAACAATGAGATCTGATCCTGCTCCTTCCCAACGCTCACAATCCACTTACCATCACTTGTCATAACTACATCAGAGATCTTCTGTGCCCTTTGTCCTTGCTCATGCTCTACCTCACTCCCATCTAAATTCCACAAGTAGATCCTTTTGTCTGCCATTGCTCCAATTATACCTGAACCGTCATGAAGCCAACCACAAGAAAAGGAACCAACACCAACTCTCTCATAGGTTTGAACACATTGTCCTGAAACAACATCCCATCGCTTGATGACTTCGTTTTCTCCACATGTAATGACTTGTTTATCATCTGGACTCCATAACACTATTACAACTGGCTTCTCGTGGCCCACAAGTCTATGTTTTATCACAAAACGCCCTTCTGCATTGGTCTGGAAAAGACAAAAAAAAGCATATCTAAGTGAATAGACTGCATCACTGTTAGCTAGATCATGTATATTGCCTTTACCTCCCATATAATTGCTGACTTATCCCTAGAAGAAGACGCCAAGTATTCGCCATTATGTGAGAATTTCAAGAACCAGACCTCATCAGCATGTCCCACCAATACCTGAACCATTCACATATATACACAACTTAAACATATTATTGTGTTATGTCATCACTTAAGGTAAGTCACAAAAAATCTGGTAAAAAACAAGAAACAATGTAACACTCTAGTCTCTAAGTTTAAAATGGTTTCACAAAACCATATCTAATGTTTTCAACATTCAATAACATATTATTGTGTTATGTCATCACTTAAGGTAAGTTATAAAAAGTCTGGTGAAAACAAGAAACAATGTAACACTCTAGTCTCTAAGTTAAAAATGGTTTCACAAAACCATATCTAATGTTTTCAACAATCTATAACAAGAAACAATGTAACACTCTAATTTTAATGCAAACAGAAGTAGTAACATTTGAGGAGTGGTGCCATAGTCTTTTATTTACCTGAACAGTCCTGGAAGGAATTTTTGATTTTGCACAATGATGATCAAAGCATAGGGACAAATCACTATCAGGAACATTATGGAAACCACATTTACTCCTCTGAAGATCAAGTGACTCTTCCAAGAGATGAACCAACCTCCCTTCAGGCACTATAACTCCAGGAAGAAACACTTTTTTCAGCTTCCTTACAACCTCCTCTGCATTATCATCACCAGAATGATCTTGAAACACAAGTTTGGATGAAAGCATCACAAGGCGGCTTTCTTCAACACCAAGAGGAGTCATCTCTTCCTGTAAAGTATGCAGTGCCTCGTCAAGGTTGTCATCTTTGAGAAAGTTGAGAAAGTTTTGCTCTAGTAGCAAGAATCTCGCAGTGTTATGATCACGCACTTGTAAACCCTCTTCCTCCTCTAGTAGTTTGATGCAGTTGTTCCATTCTTTGTTCTTTGCTAGGTTGAGAAAGTTCTTGATAAGAGGGTCGAGGAGATTAACGCCGGAGAGGTTCTCTAAATCGGTAGCGATGTTGTTGAAGCCAAGGGAGATGAGTGTATCTGTGATTACCCTTACGAGTTCGGTCTTCTTGACGAGAGCTTTGGAGCCTATTGTACCATCCATATCCTGCAGCAGAGACAAATCTTGAGCTTTCTTGAATCATCCAAGCATGTGAAAATACACGAATAAACTAACAATAGATCTAATAGAATGGTGATAACGATGAGAAACAATCATGCCCTTCACAAGTAAACGGTCAGTGAAACGTAGAATCAGCAAGAAAAAACTAGCCTTGGGTCGCAAGAAAGCTCAGTTCGTGAAACAGAGAAAGCAAACAGAGAGAAAAGATTCAAACTTACGAAAGAAGAAGCAAAACCCAGCAAGAAAGTGATCGGCTTTAGAGATCGTGAGCTATAGAAACGGAGACGCGATGCTCAGAGAGAAACCTAAAACGTACAGAAGAAAGAGTTATGACGTGGAAGAGAAGAGAGGAGGGTACTTATCGGCTGCTGAAACCTAGCATCGACCCGCTTAAAAATGTTTTAAACTGTAACGTTATCCAAAACTTACTAATGGATTAAGATTTGATTTTAGAGGCTTAGTGGGTTTGAGTCTTTTTTGTACGTTGATATCTTCATGTCTACTGACTTATGATACTATATAAGATTTTTTGCAGTATAATCTATGTTTCTCATCATTATATTCAGATAGAATATAGTATTGGCGAGAGATTGCTGTTACATTCATTAGCACATCTCTTTTCTATTGAAGATTATCCATGATATCTCCAGTGACATACAAGAGTCATGTGCTTCCATTTTTCTAAAAGGATATGGCTCAGAGCCATCTAAACCTAAGATAAAATCTGAATGTGTCTTTAGTCTCTCTTATGTGACTTTTCATGGCAGTTTGGCTTCTTGTGTAAAATGCTTATGGTAAGCTGATTGCATGACGTTGCTACAGGGAAGTTTGCTCCCAGAGAAAATGAAAATATATTATTTTCATCATGCTTTAAAATTGGACTCTTCAACATACATAACAACACCTTATGTTAGCCTCATGTAACAATATCAGATGTTTATATGTGTTTTCAGTCTTGTAATGGTTTGCTTCTTCGAGTATCTTAGGTTGAAACTGTATTGTATTGATAGAAAAAGTGTTAACATAGAAAGGCAGACCACCCTTGGAATTAAGAACCTTTAGATCTACTAGGGTGATTCTCCGCGCTACGCGCGGATAAGTGTTTTATTAGTTTTGGTTAGGAACATAATTTTTATTTTGTTTTTGCATTTATAAAATTGTATTTTACTATTTGTATGAAATTTGATGATTATAAGATTTTAAATGGTTAGCTAGGTTTGTTTATGATTTAAAAATTGCTACTCTTAGTTGTATTTATGTTAATGTATCTCGATAAAATATAATTTTCGTGGTGAGTAAAGTTTACCATTATTTAAAATAAAAGAAGAATAGTTTAAATGATCACAAATACAATAAAAAGAGATAATGTAAATTAGATTACAAACCACCTATAAAATGGTGGGATATCCATACTGCTGTAATTGCGAGACTTACAAAAAACCTATTATAAAATGGTGATATGATTTAGTTTTTTTTTATATGAATAACAATGAAAAAATGCCGTGCATAAAATAGCTATGGAATGAAAATATGTACTTGAGATATCTATTTAAGCAATGATGAATATATGGGGAATTATTTGAGGGCCTGAACTGGACGATGAGATGATCATTTTATGAGTGATTATTAACTTCGTTTATCTGGATGAATCTCTAAATGAGATCAATTCTGCTGCCCCAATAAAATTGGCTTGCAGAAGTTGTTGTCATTGTCAGTTTACCTTTAGTCAATTTACAATAGAATATTTAGAACTAATAATTATAGGTCTAAATTATGTAATAATTATTACCTCCAAATATTTTGGGATTGATGCTTGTAATGAGTACAATTTTGTATTTGAATACAGTTTTGGTTTGCATCTCTCTAAACCTAGCAGCAACATTGTCCATTAGTGTTAAACGAACCATTTTTGTTCTGCATGAGATGTGTGGAGATATATAAAAGTTTTCTTTGAACTAAATCCCCTATATATTAATTGAGAAACATTTGAAAAGATGTAAACTCAAATTTGTATTAATTAAAAAGTAACCTTGCTTAGTTGTCAATCAATTAGCATACCAATTAAACTGACGTGGCAGCTTTAGGTTCAATTGAAATTTGCTAGGGAAAAATAATTAGAGACGCATATAACGCATGTAACATAGTTTATATATTTATATATACTAGGTGATTTTCCCGTGCTCATGCACGGACATGTATATTTATAAAATAAATATACAATAATAATTGATTGGTATTTACTTTAATTTTTAAATTAATTTATAGTTTGTATGTCTAATTTATATTATAATATTATATTACTTTAACTATATAAATAATTTTAAATATGTTATATTTAGTCTGTTTTATTGTTTTTACGGTAGATTTAATTATCATTTAGATATATTGGATTCTATCTATTTCTCTGAATTCAATTATTATCTTTTATATTTTAAATATATTAAATTTTTGATTAATTATCTTATTTGCATTTATGCTGGTTGTTATTTTAGAAATATAAGTATATTTAGTAAGATTATATATAACTTAAGATTTTTTTGTGCTTAGAAGGAAAAATAAATAAAAGCTAAAGTGTCTGATTCTAAATTACATACATAAGTAACTAATGAATTTTTAGAAGCTTTCGAACTTATATCAATATTTACAATAATTAAAATATTTTATAAATTCTAAATAAATTTATGCTTTAGATAGATTGGATGGTAAACTGAAATTTATTTTAAATAATTTTAAAAATAAGGATTCTGATTTGCTTAAGTATTTTGACTATTGTTATATTAAGTTTCACAAACATAAAAACAGAAAATTAATAATCAAAAGATTTATTAAGAAAACATATAATTTTAACTATTAAAATATAATATATCTACCTCGTTAAATTACATAATGTTATGGTATTTTAAAATAATTGTAGTTATTTTATGTTTTTATGTTTGTGAAACTTAATATAACCATAACCAATATACTTAAGTAAATCAGAATCCTTATTCTTAAAACATATAATTTTAACTATTAAAACATAATATATCTACCTCGTTAAATTATATAGTGTTATGATATTTTAAAATAATTTTAGTTATTTGATCAAAACATGTTTATTATTAAATTTATTTTTAGTTTTAGTTTTAGCATCTGTTAAAATATTCAGTAAAAAGTGATTGTTTTTGAGAAATTATACTATATAAGTAAAATAAAATTTATATTTTTACTGTAATTGTAAGATATTATAGTAAAACAAATTTACTAAAAAAAATAATTTCAATAATACTAATTATAAAAAATATCAATTAAACATATATCAGTTTATTTTAGTTGATTGTTTTATGTAATCATCTAATAAAATAGATATATATACAAAAATAATTATTTTGAAAATAAATAAATTTTATTGTTTAAAATTATATTTTTTAAAGAAAAAATTTTCCTTTTTCTAATAGTAATATTTTTTTTGTGTGAATTTTTTATATGAAATCACACTATATACATATATATTGTTTTTTTATCTAAGAATATATAGATATAAAGTATTTTTTTACTTCAAAGGTATATTTTATGTTATTTAAAATATATTTAAATTAAATATTACTATTTTGTGAACTTTCTTTTTTTTCATTAAACCATATTATATATACTTATATTTTCGTTTTTAAATAGTTTTGTAAATTTTATAAATGTTTCCTTTTTATTTTAAATTGTTATTTGGAAATTTTTAAAAAGGAAATAATTTTTAATTGTATTTTAATTCATTAGGGGTATCATAGTAATCAACCAACGTGAGAGTTAACGTGAACGCGACACCTAAGAAAGTGACTTCTCAAATAATATTATAGAGATCGCACGCATGTAATGGAAGAAAAGGAAAATATACGATTTGATAACGATTTGCATATATTAACTATAATAACTTCATTCCTTTTAATTTATGGAAGTGTATATGTAAAATGGAAATTACTTTGTGACCAAGTACATACGTAATGGTAAAGGCAAGTGTATATGTAAAATGTAAAACTTAATATGTTAAGTTGGGAATTTATGTTAAACTTTCGATTTTTTCGTATAAGTTATATTTTGAATTTTTAAAAACGAGAATAAATAACTAAACTATTAAAATTATTATGTTAAAAATTAATGATCAATAGTTTAACATTTTTATTATAAAAAGATATACATGATTTTAAAACCATATAAGTAAGTATCATTCAATAATAAAACAAATATATANTTGGGAATTTATGTTAAACTTTCGATTTTTTCGTATAAGTTATATTTTGAATTTTTAAAAACGAGAATAAATAACTAAACTATTAAAATTATTATGTTAAAAATTAATGATCAATAGTTTAACATTTTTATTATAAAAAGATATACATGATTTTAAAACCATATAAGTAAGTATCATTCAATAATAAAACAAATATATAGACAGATTAAACTATATACCATATAAGATTACATAAATATTTTAATTTCAAAATTTTCAATAAATTTTCAAGAACATTTATAAATTATAAACTTATTAAATTTTTCACATTAAAAATTTTTGTTATCAATGATTTAAATATCTTAGTTCTTTTTTAATTTTATATTTTTAAAAGATATTAACAATCGATAATATGGTTAGTTTTGGTATATACCTTACAAACCGAATGTATGTGATTTTATAAAAACCATAGGATTTGGATATGGTTGATTTATAACCGATTAAACTGAAACATGTAAATATGTATATATTTATAACGACACATGAATATCTATTTGTTACATGAGTTGAACTATAATTATATTTTGTAAATAGCTAACAATTAATTACAACTGAGACTTCTTATTTTGATCTTTTGCTTTTTAAACAGTAACTAAATTGAAGTAAAGATTATAAATTTGATGGACAACAATTAGTTGAAATTCTTTACAATTTTTTTTATCTTTAAACAAACAGAGTTGTGTTCAATCAAAGACATATTGGTTTGATGAACACTAAATATGGAAGAATATAAAAACTTTTCTTTCATGCTTCTGTTTTTTTTTTTCAAAATTTAGTGTTTTGNTTTCGATTCCATTAGTAATGAGGATTCGGAATATCACTATCACACATTGATCAATCAAAGAGAGATTCAACAACTAAAAGAAAGATCGATTCTTTGGGATCCTTCCTTTATTCAAACGGAAGGAAGAGAGATAGAATCAGACCGATTCCCTAAATCCCTTTCTGGATATTTCTCAATGCCCCGGCTATTCACGGAACGTGAAAAGCGAATGAATAATCATCTGCTTCCGGAAGAAAGCGAAGAATTTTTTTGGAATCTTACAAGAGCCATTCGTTCTTTTTTCTCTGACAGATGGTCAGAACTTCATCTGGGTTCGAATAAATTACTTCTTTTCAATTTTAATGAAAAAAAATATGAATAAACAGATCACCTTAAAAAACAAGGTTTTCTACCATCAAACGAAAAAAAATTCCTTTCAAACCTTTCCATCTGAAGTTGATTCTATAGGTGCAGTTGCAGTTCTAGGTCTTTCTTTAGTTGCTGGAGATGTAATACGACTAGCATCAAGCCTTCCTTCTTCAGTAATAGTTCCAGTGGAGGAAGAAGAAAAGCAGATCGCTTCATCCTGCGCAAGGCGCGGGTCTTATCCTAGTATTTAAATAAATGGGGTTTTTGGTTTGGGCGAGGAGAAGCTAAAAGTTCAAACCTGTTTAAGAGTAGCTCAACAACGATGTGGGATGTTGCCCTTGGATTTACACCTTGGAATCAGAGTAGTAACACCTTTTTTATTTACGGCCATTACTTATAATTGGTTCTTTTTTTTGGTTAAACCACATTTATACATATCTTGTGTTTAGGATATTAATTTGCGTAAATAATTTAAAGTGGTAATGGGAGATCATTTTTATAAAAGTAAGCTGAAATGTTTGTTTACTATTATTATTAATACGGTTGTTATAATAGATCCTGCAACTTAGCATATATATATTGGTTAATTTTAATGCTGTCAACCGAAAACATTAATATAAGACAGTCTTATTGATCAATGTAACTAATTACACCGAAACGAAAGTGGGTGAACAATGCATCAGATTTAACCCCCAAAATATAACAAAAAAAAAGTGACAAACAATGAGATCTTGTAAGACAATACGATCAAATCAACAGAGGCAAAGATAAAAGTAGAACATAACCATAAGCAAAATAGTTTTTAACCAAGTTTTAGAAATGAAGCAAAGCAAATCCATAAAGAAAGGAATCAAAGCAAAGGCTTGAACAAAGCACAACAGTTATAAAGATTATTAGCCACATTTGGCACGCTTCACCCCAGCCGATTCAACCCCATCCGACATCCTTTTCACCGCCTCAGCTGGAGGATCCTCCTTACCATCCTCAGCTCCATGATCCACATTTTCTCCTAAGCCTCCTTCAACTTCTGCAACTTCAAGAGGGAGCACTTTTGTGACAGTTAGAACTCTAGTTTGGCCGGTCAAATTGTTGGTTGAGACCTTAACAATAAATTTCCTTGTCTGGCCAATAGTACCAACCAGAGCTTGGGGCACAGGAACTAAGACATCGTCTCCGACGCTCTCGTTTGCCTAGTAGACGGTTACACATTGTCAAAACATATTAAATATTTAGGTGAGATTTTATATGTAGACAACCGTTATGGATTACCTCGTAGTAGCTTTCAACTAACTCAGAAGCTTTCTTCCCAGTCAACTCCTGCCCAGCATCACCCAGGAGAACAAATACGGCATGTTCACTGTGGTCGTAGACAGAGATTTTCGAGAGGTACCTGGGAGAATAGAAAATAAATATTCTTTGTAGTCAAAGTTTTCTTAGAATTTTAGAAAAAACAACTTACTGTGGCACACCAACAATTTCACTCTTCCCACATTTTTTACACATAAGTGTAGTAGCCCCTTTGACTGCCTTTGTATGACAAACACCACAGCCTATGTAATACCACCCAGAACCGTGCACAACATCATCGATAGTGGCTATGCACTCAAACCAAGCAACCTGGCCAAAAATTTAAAACATCAACGACTTAGAGTATCTTACTGAATGTGCTAGATAATGGGAAAAAGATACCTTAGCATCGGCAAGCTTCATATAAGAGAACAAACCCTCTAGGGTCACTGTCTCTGTCTTAGTGACCACTTGAGCTTCGACTCGGTTAGCAACATCCTCGTTTGAGTTTAGCCTGAAGAAAATAGAGCCAACTATTATAACAGCCAAGAGTTTCAATTTTAATTTGAAAACATGAATCTTTTAGCCTTACCAACTGAGATAATACCGGGTATCTTCGACATCATTGTCCATAAATACCCGTGATGGTGTCATAGTACATAGAGATAGGGTGCCTATATCATAGACAATGTCACAATGGAGTTCAATTTTTTAGATACTAAAATAATATTTACTGATATCTAAGAAAAGGAGATTTAAATCGCTAAATAAAATATTGCGCCTGCCTAAAATAGTAATCTAAAGCTGGTATTACAAACCTCCAAACCGTTTTGGGTTCAAAGCAGTGACCAAGATGACCCTTGCGGTCCTTCCAGAGGCTTTGAACTTCTCAATGAAGTCATACGCGGCCTTGTCCCATAGATACAGCTTCATAATCGGATCGCTGCAACAACCCATATTCATGTGCTTAGATAATTCATATTTGAATAGTGAAGAAGATATAGAACAGCTTACTCATGTGTTTGAACATGAAGCAAAATCCGGCGGCTAAAAGCAATCTCGCCTTCATCAAGCTGAAGACTGGCATTGGGAACCTGCCCATTCACAAGCCTTAAATGACCAATATAATCTGCAAGATTAATCAAACAACCATCAGAATTAAAAAATCATGAAAATAATAAAAGCAACAGAAAATAATATGTGAGATTAAATTTAATCACCAGAGATAAGGATAGTAAAATCTAATTCTGTTCGAAATCATCATCATCATCTACTAATTTTAAATATATTAATCTAATGACAAAAAATAGTTCAGAGCACTGTAATCAGTATCCAACACAAACAACAGTTGGGAATGGCTTGAAAATCTTACCATAGAGATCCGCCCTCAAGTCGGACGCAGCTTCAAATTCCTTGTATCCATGGAACCGAAAACGGTCCTCTGGAAAACGCACCGACGTGTCCTCTACAACAGACAGTACAGAATTCCAAGAGAAGGTAATAGTGGCATTTGGTTCAGCAACCCGGTACAAATTCTTGTTCCTAGAGCCATAAAAGTTGTTAAGCCTATAAATGGCACCAGCTCTCAAGCGTGGCAAATAGGTCTTAAGCCTTCCTTCTGGGATAAACCCTTGGATAACAGTCTCCTATCAAAATGTTTGAAAGACAATATTAGATAAAGTAGACATTAGATTTAAACATAAAATCATAAACAATTAAGAAATGTAAACTCACAACTTACAACAACAGAATTACCACTGACGCGACTAACAACATTTAAAGTCTAATCTAATACATTTTGACTTGTTGCCAAACCAATAATAACTATTACTATGCTAGATTTCGAGGACCTATAATAAGAGTTGTATATCAAATAGCTAATATGACACTGATGATCGGACCAGCTAAAACTATATCACTATATCAGATTTCCTGAATTGTCATCCTGATGATCATTCTAAAAAAAACCAGAGAACAAAATCGTGTTTTTTTTTATCACCAAAAGCCTCCTATACTAAATCTTCCAAGTTAAGAAATGTTTACATAGAGGTTTAAGACAAAGGTCACTTTGCTGAAGTTAAGGTTTAGGATTTCAAGTGTAAAGTATGTTAACAATGTTAAGATCTATGTTTTCATTGCATCTCGAGTGAATAATTTTTTCAAGTTGATAATTTAAATGAAATCGAGTTATACCTCAGCGTCGATGAGCAGCATCTCAAGGCCGATCAACACCTTGGACTGAGTATGCCGGGCCTCCCAAAAATGGATCAAACGGAACCTCACCTCACCTTCATGGGGTCCTAAAGTGACATCTTTGAAAGACAGCGGTTGTCCGACGGTGTCAGAAACGATACCTTTTCCCTTGTCACCGTAGGAGATAGTGGCTTCCCTATTAACGCCGGTGGGGAGAACGGAACATGCAGCGGTGTTAGGGGTAGGTTTGGTCACACTCGCGGAGGAGATAGTGGAGTTGGTTGTTGATTTCAACGGAATCTGAACACCGGATGACGACATGGGAAAATACTTTCGACAATGGATATGGAATTTTGAGTGAGGTCTTTCAATCCGATGAGTCGGCTTATATAGAATCTCAGTTCGAGAAATCGAGAGGATCCCATTAAAGAGATGAAAGGGAGTGAAGAGGTGGGGAGTTAATTGATGAGGCAGAGTAACAGAAACGGTGAAGAGGGAGTTGAGAGGTCTAAGGATAGGCGGAGGGGAAACTGAGGTTCGTATGAAAAGGAGAAAGGTTTCGCAGAGAAATTTTTTTAGGCCAACACTGTTTTTTAGTTTATTAAAACGATGTCACTTTGCATTTGGGATTTGGTTTGGGCCAGGACATATTCGAATAAACAAACGGACCTGCAGAAGAATTGACCATTCCGTAAGTTGGCTTTAAAACAATGCCTAGCAATATTCATCAACAAATGGGCCTGCAAAAATTATGACCCAACCGTAAGTCAGCCTGCTGGACTTCCTACGTGGACGAACGTTTAAAGCTGATTGGGGGAATATATTTGCACACGTGGACCCCTTCTCCATGTCTTATATAGCCCTTTTAATACATGTTTGATAACTAGACTGTTTCACTAATATCTAGTTGCTTCCATTTTGTGAGAATTCTAATAACTTAATAAGAATACTCTCCTAGTCTCTCCTTTAAGTTAGAATATAAAGACAACAAATGCCTCCTTGACGATTCCAAAAGAGACTGAAGGAAAATAAAAAGGTATTGTTTCCCTGAAAGTTTATATGGCTTCTCAATTTTCATAAGAACAGAAAACAAAATTAAAGAACTTATTAAAAGAAAAGATTGTAACATGGAAAAATATATAAGAATACTTCGTTGAATAAAAATAAATGATCTTCCTTAACTCAATCAAATTCATAGAATTTTAAAGCATAAATATACTTTCAGTTCAACCCAAATTATTTTTTAAAATCTAAATATAATTTAATATAGCAAAACTATAACACTTGTTTTTAATAGAATTTTCTGGTATAGTCTAAGAATAACACTTAGGTCCAAAAGCATATTCTTCCATTAGAATAATCGTAGTCTTATGTTCATAGCATGTTTTTTGGTACTAATGTCAAGATTGTTCAAGACATGTTGCTGGTTAGATCATTAAACTTTCAATAGAGTTATTTTTTTATGAAATGCATAGAGGGCAGAGGCCCTACCCTTGTTGGCTGTATATCTGCCACTGTTCTCATTTATCATAAGAACATAAAACAAAATCAATGAATTTATTAAAAGAAAAGATTGTAACATGGAAAAATATATAAGAATAATTCATAGAATAAAAAGATTGATCTTCATTCCCCCAATCAAAATTATAGAATTAAAAGGCATAAATGAAACTTTGAGTTCAATCCAAATAATTTATTTATACTGAAAACAAGTTTAATTCAAGAAATTCTAACACTTGTATATAAGTTTAAGAACGAAACGAGGCTTAAGAATAGCACATAGATCCAAAAGCATATTCTCCTGATAGAATAATCAAAGTCTTACGTTCACAACATGTAGCTAATTAAGATAATTAAACTTTCAACAAAGTTGATTTTGAATAATATCCAAATTTCCAAGAGGCAGAAATTCTTTTCTTGGGTTATTGCTAAAAAAATCACCATTGGATGTAATAATTTATATAATTCCACGTGGCATTTATTACACGCCGTTATATAACTCTTCATTAACATATTCTCATCCCCGGCAGCTTTCACACTCCAAAAAAACAGAACAGAAACAGAGTTTTTCAGGTAAGATCCAAATCCTCTCCGATCTTCTCTTTTGTCTTTCGATATTCATTAGATCCCTCCTCATAAATCGTAATTGTGACATCAGATCTTAAAAGTTCCATCCTTTTCTCTTGTCTTAAACGTGGACTTGATTAGTTATGAATACTCTGTTCTTGGTCTAATAAAGTTCGATCCTTTATGGGCTTAATGGTTTTTTTAATTTTTTTTTTTTTTTTTGAAGAAAAATGTCGAACATTGACATTGAAGGGATAATGAAGGATCTACCTAACGATGGGAGGACACCAAAGACGAAGATAGTTTGCACTTTAGGTCCTGCCTCTCGCTCTGTTCCTATGATTGAGAAGCTTCTTAGAGCCGGCATGAACGTTGCTCGTTTCAACTTCTCTCATGGAAGTCATGAGTATCATCAGGAGACTCTTGACAATCTCCGTGCTGCTATGCAGAGTACAGGGATCCTCGCTGCTGTTATGCTTGATACAAAGGTTTTGGTCTTTTCTTGCTTATGAACTATGATTATGAATATGGATGTTTGGATTGTGTTTTTCTTACACCATGAATGCTTCAGATTCTTAATTAAGAAACTTTAGTAGAGGAAAAGATAATTTTAGTATGGAAAAACTGAAAGAAGACGAAAATAGGACATGGTTAATGCTTAGAACATTAGTTGTTGTTTGAGTTGATTGTAGCTAAGTTCTGGAGCATGAAGATTGGTCATTTAGTGTTTATAGCTTGCTTGTTAGTAGTACTAGCCATGGGGTTTTTGTCTGAACCTATCAAGCCGAACCAAAAATTTCGGTTTTCGGTTCGGTTATAGTCTTGAGTTCAGTATAGTTCGGTAAGATTTTGAAAAATGTTTTGGTTGTCTGTTCGGTTAAGTTTGATTTTCAATTCTTTTTAAAAAAATATATATATAAAAACCGAAAATAACTGAAAATACCCGAAAAAAACAAAATTAACTGAAATAACCGAATCTCTGAAAGGCCGATTTTAAAAAAAATTATACCGAGTTCTAACCAAAAAAAAAAACAATCGGTTATTTTCGGAAATAAAATTGAAAACCAAAATTAACCAATAACTAAACCGAAATCTAAATCAGTTAATTTTGGCATTAATTTTCAAAATCTCGGTTAGGTTTAGGAAAACCGAAATGGCAGAGCTACTTGTTACTGTTAATTGGTGGTGTTGGTTCAAGCTAGCAACTAATAGATTTTATGTGTTGGCTCAGAGAAAATCATTATGTTAAAGAGTCCATTAGCCTTTGTTTATAACGGTTGATTATATAATGGTCATGTTACTACCACAGGGACCTGAGATTCGTACCGGTTTCTTGAAAGATGGCAACCCCATACAACTCAAAGAAGGCCAAGAGATCACTATCAGCACCGATTATGACATCAAGGGTGATGAGAAAACAATCTCCATGAGCTACAAGAAGCTTCCTGTGGATGTTCAGCCAGGACATACCATACTATGTGCAGATGGAAGCATAAGTCTAGCTGTATTGTCATGTGATCCAAAGTCAGGAACTGTACGATGTCGATGTGAGAACACAGCTATGTTGGGAGAAAGAAAGAACGTGAATCTCCCTGGTGTTGTTGTTGATCTGCCCACTTTGACTGAGAAAGACGTTGAAGACATTCTTAAATGGGGTGTTCCAAACAAAATCGATATGATTGCTTTGTCCTTTGTTCGGAAAGGTTCAGATCTTGTTAATGTCAGGAAAGTACTTGGTTCACATTCCAAGACTATAATGTTGATGTCAAAGGTAAACAACACTCACCTCAGTACACATGTAGGCCGTGGCTATAGGCGATTTACTAAAGATTTCAACTATTTTTTTTTAAAACAAATTTTGAGGCCTAAAAAAATATTTTTTTGAACTGCTTATATAATTTTCTTCAAAAATTTTGGAGGTCGAATACTAATTTTCATTCGGTTATTCCAATACTAATTTTCATTTGGTTTTGCTCAGGACTGGTTCTGTATGTGGCTAAGTAAGATCTGATTTTTTTTTGTTTGGTTTTGGATTTATTGAAGGTTGAGAACCAGGAAGGAGTTTTGAACTTTGATGAGATCTTGCGTGAGACTGATGCATTCATGGTTGCTCGTGGTGATCTAGGGATGGAGATACCTATAGAGAAGATCTTCTTAGCTCAAAAGATGATGATCTACAAATGTAACCTAGCTGGTAAACCAGTGGTCACAGCCACTCAAATGCTGGAGTCTATGATAAAATCTCCAAGGCCAACACGAGCTGAAGCCACTGACGTGGCGAACGCGGTTCTAGATGGCACAGACTGCGTCATGCTAAGCGGTGAAAGCGCTGCTGGAGCCTACCCTGAGATAGCAGTGAAAACAATGGCTAAAATCTGCATTGAAGCTGAATCATCTCTTGACTACAACACAATCTTCAAGGCGATGATAAGGGCAACTCCACTACCGATGAGCACGTTGGAGAGTCTTGCATCATCAGCTGTAAGGACAGCGAACAAAGCCAGGGCGAAACTCATCATAGTGTTGACACGTGGAGGTACAACGGCTAAGCTGGTGGCTAAGTATAGACCAGCTGTGCCTATTCTATCAGTGGTTGTTCCTGTTTTCACGAGTGATACGTTTAACTGGAGCTGTAGTGATGAGTCACCGGCGAGGCATAGTTTGATATATAGAGGGTTGATACCGGTTTTGGCTGAAGGATCTGCAAAGGCCACTGATAATGAATCTACAGAGGAGATTATTGAGTCTGCTTTGAAGTCTGCTACTGAGAAAGGTTTGTGTAACCATGGTGATGCTGTGGTGGCTCTGCACCGTATTGGAGCTGCTTCTGTTATCAAGATCTGTGTGGTCAAGTGATTTTTTTTTCAAGTCAGGATCATCTTCTCAAGGTTTATGTGTTTCAGGGTGAAATAAAGAACAGGAAACAGATGTTTCTGAGAGTGTTTTTGGGTTTTTGTTTGCATTTATTCTCTTTTCTTTGGCTATTTTTAGTTTATAATATTTTTTTATGAATGCATGCAGATGATGCAGTTATTTTTATAGTTTTTTCTGCAGCAAAACAGTACTTATTGTTATATTTTTTTCTGGAACAAATTTATTGTTATAGTTAAACTAAGAAAATACCACTTTTCACTTATAGCCTTTTATAAGTCTTGTTTTTTGTTTTTAATCTAAGGTTGTATTATTAAGTCTTTTTGGCCAAAAAAATTCTAAAGTAAATTAACACATTTATTTAACGTACTAATAATTAACGATGTTTCATATAAAAACTCTATTTGTTTTTAGAATAATTAAATCTCAAAGAACATAATCTTCGTATTAATTCAAAATACCATGTTTCAGACTAAATTGATAACAATTGAGACTCTCTTTTTATTACTCACCGAGACAAAACAATTTTTTATACTGCTTTATTAATAATATAGCTTTTGATATTTGTTAAGAAATATTATTTTGCTGACTTTTCACTCTCAATTTTTTCACATCTTATTTTTCTATTTTTTAATTTATTTTGTTAGTCATTTCCAAACATTCTAATTCAAATTAAATTTATATTTCTCAGCCAAAGTTTTATTATAATCTGGAAAATGAAATAAAAACCTTATTATTTCCATGTGTAGTTAACAAATCTTAATTCAAGGCAAAGGAGGGAAAATACGGGAATAAGCCGAAACCACATCTTTCTTAACATAGCGTTTGGGATTCTCAGGATCAGGACTCCACTGGATCTCACTTACATTAGGCGTTTCGACAAACGCAACCGTGAACTCACCCATCTTCTCCATATTCCCACGTTTCCCAGCCCTTAGAAGAAGCCCACTGTTCCTCACGTACGAGAATATCCCATTGGTGAGCTTCACGATGTCCCCTGCCTCGAAGGCCTCGCACTCCTCTCCCCACAACTGTATGTGAACCGCCGCCGTTTCATCCGCGGCTAACGCGATACAGCTCTTTCCGCTGCTCGCCGCGGCCGCTGCGGCGGGTGGTGATCTTGCTTTGTCGAGGATGATGAAACGCGTGTTTATGTTGTTCTGTGCTGCGGGAACTATGTCCTTGAGAAACACGTGCATCTTGTCGGAATCCGTTAGCGTTTCCTGTAATGTTTTCATTCAGACATTTTGTCGAACAGTTTATCTACAATGCTTTTTATTTTTGAGACAAAAGCTGGTAAATTAAAATTACAGAAACTTAATTTTGTCTATGGCTAATAGATAATATCTAATCGACGATACATGTAAGGAAAACACCGATGAAGGAAGAAGACGACGTTGGCGAAGGTTCAGACGTGAGTGAGAAGCGAGCAAACGTGGGGAGCGCCAAGGTATGTGTATATATATGTGTTTAAAAATAGATAGGGGTAAAACCGTAAATGTCAATTTTAGTTCCCTTTATAGCTATGTTTAATGCCGGTTTAACCGACCGGTTTGTTTCCAGTCCAAGTTTTAAAATACACTAATTGGACCGATTTAACCACTGTAAATTTGTGGCTGGAGTTTCCGAATACACTAATTGTAAAAGATTAGTCCAAAGATTAAGTAAAGGTACTTTACTTTTGATAAAGGTTTTAACTAGCTAGAATTAGTATGTTAGTTTCAAATGTTAGAATATAAGTTTGATACATTTATCTTGATTGGTTTTGTTTTTTCTTATAAAAATGAGAAAAATATATTTGTGTTTGTTTTATCTGCGAATATAGATAAAATTACACTTTTTAAATATACGTTGTAGATTGTGATGATCAACAGATCTTTTGAACATCGAACAAAAGTCTCAGCTTGGTGAAGAATCGTATGACAATACATAAAGCGATGAGCATAAGAACATATTCAAGTTCAAGCATATTATTATTTATAACAATTGTTCTTCCACATATATTCTTAGTCTGCTTCTTCCTCACGTTTTGTAAACCTAATTTTCCTTTAAATATATCTAGCTTTTTCTTGATCCTTTCTTTGATTAGCCTGCGTTTCTTATAAGAAAATGCTTTAGAAGTTTATCCATCAAACTAAATAACTCTCAGTTTTTTTTTTCTGTTCAAAATATAGTTGAAAATGCTTTAGAAGTTTATCCATCAAACCTAATAACTCTCATTTTTTTGCTGTTCAAATATAGTTGTGTTTGTATATTATTTGTTCATCTCATTACTGAAGGTGAGTGAGAGATGAGATCATGAGAGGAATATATATAACAAAATGCCCCTTTGCATTGCCATCGTTCATACTAGGGGAATATTAATCTGAACAAGTGGAACCTTCTTACACATGCTTCTGTCTATTCCTAAAATCAAAAGCTCTTTTCCAAAACATAAACTACTTCTTAATCAAGCTCGTGTTTAAATGACTGATTCATTCAGATCATTCTTTATTATTTTTATTATTATCTTTTGGAGGTTCATTCATCTTTTAGTCCCAATCTCAATGAAGTCCCACACTTGCAAAAGAGATCAATCAAAATAAAGAAGCAAAAGAAAAAAAAAGAAACAAACCACACCAATTAAGAAATCAAAGATGTTTCAACTTAGTGGGATTCTCTTTCCCTCAAAGCAGCATTTCTTCTTCTTCTTTACATGAGAGGGATAAAAATATATTGAACAATACCTTTTGTGGGTCCTTTATAGGCACTAACTTCTAAAAGAGTCATCTTCTTTATATTGAAATTTTTATTTCATTATTGTTGCTCCTATTGGCTTCATTATTACACAAATCCTCCTCCAGTTTCTCTTCACAACTTATGTTTTTATTCTCTTGTGTTTAGAGTGTTTCAGCTTATCTATGGCTCAGTCAGGTACTAAAAGCTTTGTGTTTCTTACACGTTAGTGTCTTTTTTCTCCATTTATATATTACTTAGGCTTTTTGTTTTTGCTATTTATGTACTATATTAATTGGTTCTTTTAGTTTCAAGCTACATATTTAGGTGAAACACAGAGAGTTTTTTTAGAGAGTTTTTGAACATCAAAAGCCAAGAGTCAACGACACAATTAGAAAAGTTGTCGTTCTTGACGATTAAATTGCTTTCATCTTCTTCATGTTTTGATCTAACAATGTTTCACATCAAAAACAAACAAAGCTGTCAGTTACTAATACATAACTATACCCATGATTCGTTTTTTTTTCTTCTCTTTTATTTGCTTCCTAATGTTTACTTAACATTGTTTGATCATAAGGGTTATGTGTTTCTTGTAGAAGAATTAAACTTTCACATATATAACAATTCTTATAATATCTAATAAACTGCAGGGAACGGTGAAAGATTTTGTAATCCTCTAAGAAATTGCTCTACATGGAACCATTTGATCTTACAATGCTTCTTGGCCTTAGCTTTTGTGGAGATCACTTCTTCATCAACTCAACCAGATATAGAAGGTATTTATACTTATAATTAGCCTTCTTTGTATCAATGATCTTTAAGGTATCAACTGGTTTTACTTCTTTGTTTATCTGCTAGGAGGAGCTTTGTTGCAGCTCAGTGACTCACTTAAGGATTCAAACGATCGTCTTAAATGGTCACGAGAATTCGTGAGCCCTTGCTTTAGCTGGTCTCATGTCACCTGCAGAGACCAGAGTGTTGTGGCTCTGTAAGTATCACTTCTCAAAGTTTTATTTCCCAATATTTTATTTTTTATTTTGTTGAGACTCTTTTGTATCAATTTGTAGGAGTCTTGGCTCAAATGGATTCACAGGAACACTATCTCCATCTATTACAAAACTGAAGTTCTTGGTTACACTGTAAGACATCATCACAAACCATTTTTTGATTCTTAAATGATTCCCTTAACCATAATATTTTTTTTCTTTAATGCAGAGAGTTACAGAACAACAGTTTATCTGGTACTTTACCTGATTATCTAGGGAACATGGTTAATCTTCAGACTTTAAACCTATCAATGAACAGTTTCAACGGCTCAATACCAGCGAGCTGGAGCCACCTCTCGAATCTAAAACACTTGTAAGTTAAAGTAGTCCACATGAAAACAAACCTCTTATAAAACCATCTTTGAACTATGAGTTTATGGTTTTTCTTTGGCTTATTGATTCACAGAGATCTCTCAAACAATAACTTAACAGGAACCATCCCTACACAGTTCTTCTCAATCCCAACCTTCGAGTAAGAAAACTCTTTTCTTCCTCATGAATCTAGTGATTTTTTCAGTACTATAACCACATATTGTGTTTTTTTTTTTTTCAGTTTTTCAGGAACTCATCTAATATGTGGTAAAAGCTTGAATCAGCCTTGTTCTTCAAGCTCTCGTCTTCCAGGTTCTTGATTTATTCCATCTTACATCCATTTCACATACTAACATAACAGACTTATAAACTTACTTTCTTTAACTACAGTCACATCATCCAAGAAGAAGCTAAGAGACATAACCTTAACAGCAACTTGTGTTGCTTCTGTGATCTTATTCCTTGGAGCTATGGTCATGTATCATCACCATCGCCTCCGCAGAACCAAGAACGACATCTTTTTCGATGTAGCTGGTGAAGATGACAGGAAGATCTCCTTCGGACAGCTAAAAAGATTCTCATTACGTGAAGTCCAGCTTGCAACAGATAGTTTCAACGAGAGCAACTTGATAGGACAAGGAGGGTTTGGTAAAGTGTATAGAGGTTTGCTTCCAGACAAAACAAAAGTTGCTGTGAAACGTCTTGCGGATTACTTTAGTCCTGGAGGTGAAGCAGCTTTCCAAAGAGAGATTCAGCTCATTAGCGTCGCGGTTCATAAGAATCTCTTGCGTCTTATTGGCTTCTGCACTACTTCCTCTGAGAGAATCCTTGTGTATCCATACATGGAGAATCTTAGCGTTGCATATCAACTAAGAGGTATTATTTTCTATGTTTCATATTAAGTGTTGTTGTAGAGTATAATACTCCCTCTGTTTTAAGATAGTATCATTTTGACATATTTTACACATATTAAGAAAATAAAAAAATATACTAGAGATGTTAAAAAAAATGTATATACTAGTATGCCCTTATTTTATATACAATTATTTAAATAGAAAAAATTTAAAATATCTATTGGTTGGTTAAAATTGTAAGAAAGATATTATATGTGAAAAAATGTATTGAAAATGTAAAGTGATATTTATTTTGAAACAAAAAAATGGTAGAATGACACTTATTTAGAAACAGAGGGAGTATTCGTTACAAAATGTTAATACAATATATTTCTTTTATACTTACATAAATTAAGAAAAAAAAAACTGAGTGCAATAGAATTCTGATAGTTAAACAAGTTCAAAAATTAACATTTAACCATTTTTTAATTTACTTCAAGAAACTAGAATAATATCTAATTTGAAACGAAGTGAGTATTACATAATAAGTTATCTATCTTCATCAATGACTTAAGATTAAGTTATGTGCTGAGGAGAGTTTGTATATTGTAGATTTAAAGGCGGGAGAAGTAGGGTTAGACTGGCCAACAAGGAAGCGTGTGGCTTACGGTTCAGCTCATGGTTTAGAGTATCTACACGAGCATTGTAACCCTAAGATCATACACCGTGATCTCAAGGCTGCAAACATACTTTTAGACAACAACTTTGAGCCTGTTCTTGGAGATTTTGGTTTAGCTAAGCTTGTGGACACATCTTTGACTCATGTCACAACTCAAGTCCGAGGCACAATGGGACACATTGCACCAGAGTATCTCTGCACAGGAAAATCATCAGAGAAGACCGATGTTTTCGGTTACGGTATAACGCTTCTTGAACTCGTTACTGGTCAGCGTGCAATAGATTTTTCGCGCTTGGAAGAGGAGGAGAATGTTCTCTTGCTTGATCATGTAAGACTTGAGAATTTTATTTTTAAGTTTTTGTTTTTGTCTTAGACTACTGAAGTTATGTTAGATGTGTATGAAACAGATAAAGAAGCTGTTGAGAGAGCAGAGACTTAGAGACATTGTTGATAGCAATTTGACTACATATGACTCTGAAGAAGTTGAAACCATTGTTCAAGTGGCTCTTCTATGTACACAAGGCGCACCAGAAGATAGACCAGCGATGTCTGAAGTGGTTAAGATGCTTCAAGGGACTGGTGGTTTGGCTCAAAAATGGATTGAGTGGGAACAGCTTGAAGAAGTTAGGAACAAAGAAGAATTGTTGCTTCCTACTTTGCCAGCTACTTGGGATGAAGAAGAGTCCACCATTGATCAAGAATCTATCAGATTATCGTCAGCAAGATGAAGTTGAAGAGAGAGTTAGAAAGATATTTGAAAACTAAATTTGCATTACATGTATAAATGATAAACTTAGAAGTGTATTTGATGATCTGCTAACTGTATTAAAACAGGTGGGAAACGAAGTAAATACACAAGCTTGGTAATAGATCATATGATATACCTAGCTATGTTTTTGTATATATGAATTGGTTATTGTTGTAAGATAATGTCATAATGATGAGTTGATGATTATGGTTTGTTATGGAGGCAGGGCCCTATAGTTTCCTCTGTTTTTAAAGCTTGGGGTTCTTGCTCTGTTTTGAGAAATAATATACGGCGTCGTTTCATATGAATGCCGTTAAGACGGTTATAAAATTTTGAGCTCATTGCTTGAAAATTTGGTTGGTTTTAAAATTTTATTTTTAAATTGTATTGTGACAGTTTTAAAAAAAAAAATTGTATTGTGACATTTCTCCCAGAATATACTCACAATTCATTTTTGATCAAATGCTAATATTTTGTTAGCAGTATAAACCTTGTTCAAAAACGCGTTCTCCGCAGACGGTTAATTGGTAGTTATACGTGGGGCGAAAGACTGTCGATGCGATTTGATGTTAATCGGGACATTAATCAGATTTTTTAAAAATTATCGTTTTATATGTTTTCTGTTCCCAAATTACATACACTTCTTAGATCTATTATATTGTAGTTAAAAATCATCAAAAATAACTAGATTTAACAATGGAATCACAAAAAAAAAGGAAGGGGGAAAGCACATTACCACTAACCTATACGGTATTAACAGTATCAGTACATATATTAAATATAAAACACATAAATAGATATAAAATTCATAAAATTCCTCCCTGAATAATTTTCGTATAATATCTGATTAATTGATTCGCGCTAAGCGCAACCCGACCGCACACGTAGCGCCTAATATATCTCTTAACAAAGGTATAAACTAGAATTAACAAAATATGTTGATCAAAAAAAAAAAAAGAATTAACAAGATATAACGGTTTTTTAATGAAAATAAAATTTGTGTTGTACTTTGTGTGCGTTTAATGAGAAAGATGAGGCAATAAATGGGACCGGAGACAGACGTAAGCAGTCAGTGAAAAAGAGTCGTCCTCGTAAACCGGGCTGTTTTTCTCGGTTATTGGTGCTTGGTTTCCGCTGACACCGACATGTCCGGTTCCCAGGTAACTTTGCTCTCCACCCTACGATTCATTCATAAATGGACGATCCAGATTTTCTTTTTCCTCTTCTATCTGTGACGTGTGGTTCGAGTATTTCGCCTGAGCCTCTCAGACGAACCCTAAATAACCAAAACTCAAAAACCCAACTCAAGAAAATTGAAATTATATAAACTTGATACGTTAAATACCATTGACCAAAACCCAGCAAAATACTTAAATATTAGTACAAAAAAACAGACATGTAAAGTTAACGAACCACCAAGATCACTTCACAATATGGAGTATATGATCTGAAATAAATACTGGTGCTTATACTATAAATCTACCAAAATATTTGCTTTAGAAAAACGTTGAGTAAATGTATTTAGTCAAAATGGGGATTAAATAAGGTTAATTAGTGCATAAATAAGAGAAACAAATACAATGGTACGTACGTATGTTACTTTAAAAGAACGTTAATTACACAGATGGAAATAAGATCTACTAGAGGGAATTTTGGCACGAACCGATGAGAAGACAAAACCAATGTTTTGTCGTTTTCATAGCAGTTAATTTGAATGTATGTTTGCAGTATCCCATTTAGCTAACATAAATATGAGCGTTGCGTTTTTTGCATGGCACATAATAATAATAGCATTTATAAAGATTCTAAGCTCACCCCGGCTGGATGTTGTTAAATGGTAGAATCATATGAAAAATGGGACTAAAATCTGGTTTTGATAATCGATTGCCAAAATGGTTAAAAGGGTTTTGATCGCTAGTAACAACCAATACCATCGCAAAATCATTTATCTACACATCAGATATATTGGTAAAATCTACTCAGAAATGTAAAAGCATGCAATTATGTATGTTTTAGTAGAGAATAATTTGATGTTTTAATCTAGACTTCATCACACAACAAAATGTAAAAGCATACAATCACTTTTAACTTACAAGTTGAGGTGGAGCCACAACTAATAATAAGGTAAATAATAAATTGGGACGTATGTACTTGTTGTGCATTCAATAACGTTAGACATTTATACATATATACACATATCATATTTATCGTTTATATGAGTATATGTTTATAAAGTTGAGGGGTTTTCAACTATAACTTAGGTTAAGGTCTACAATTTAAAATAGTATAATCAAATAGCTAACATGTATCTTTTGGTGTGGAAGTCAATATTCAGTCTAGAAATTACAACTTTTTTCTAACAAAAAAAAGTACTTACAAGCACACAACCCTTGAGGCCTTGATTTATATATACATATATAATTTTCTATGTAAAATATGTGTAGAAGTCATTTTGGGGACTTGACAGAGATTTTAAATTAGAAGGAAGACTTCTGATGGCCTCGGAAATGACGGTTATTAAATATGTATAAGAGACAATTAAACTGGATATTTTTCCAGAAGAAATTGACTTGTATCATGAAAAGGGTTTAAACTTGAATGTACTTACTTGGAGTACATCGGATTTTACCACTCTGGATTTCACTGTAACATTCTATTTTAGGTAACCCTATACACACCATATAGAGACAATAACCAAAATTAATCAAACTACTAAACCGAAATTACTAAATCCATGTAAGAAAAAACAAAAGAAAAATCTAGGGCTTAGATCTTTTGTCCTCTCTATAAATAGAAGAAACTACGAGGGTCTCTTGACATGTCACATGCTTCCTTCCTTTCCTTCTTCTTCTTTCATAAAGCTGATTATTTTCTTGTCTTCTTTATCTTCTTCTTCTTGTGAAGCGATTTAGGGTTTAGAGGAATGTTGTCTGGCTCGAGGTCATGGAGAGTGATTAATTATATAACCAAACACAAAACTCTACATGATTCTCGGACCAGGCTTCATCCCCCTCAACCTATTCATCGTAATTTGCTCAAAACTTTTACCAACGTCACATCTCATCACGGTCGTTGACTCATGGTTGATGAAATGTTGTCATTCATACAATCATACTTATGTTCTAAAGCAGTAAAGCTTGTATTATTCCATGCAAGATTCATTTTATGAATCATACTGTAGTGTTAGTTATTATAAAGCCATTGACAAACTCTTCAAACAGCTAAAACTATTATCAATGTTCTCTTAAATATCAACCATATGTTTCATTGTTACCCCCTTTTTTCTTACGGATAGTTTATAGCCGTTTTTTTTCTTACTACGAACAAAAAATTAAAGAAAGAAATCTGGATCTATGGATGCAAATCGTTATGTTTCACTTTCAAAGATAATTCACTTTTCTTTTAAAAGCGTAAGTATGGTTATTTAGATCCTTGTGTTTCACTTTCAATGATATTTCACTTTTTCTTTAAAAACGTAAGTATGGTCATATTTCATTTCATATCAACTTTGGGAAAAAGTTATATAAATGTACGTGTTTGTGTGTTTGGTCAAAACTTACTATCACTTTGAAAAGGTATTTATAACAAAGGTGAAAAAGTTAGAGGAAAAAGAGAAGATTACAAAGAGCAAAAGTAAAAATTTGCACGTGAATGATGTGGAAACTATATGGCTTTCCGCAATACTGCTAAAAGTCTCGTCAAGTTGAAATGTTATACACGTAACTGGAAAAATGGTAACTATCTTCTTCCTTTTTTCCCTTTTGTTGGAGTCTTGGAGACTATTGTGATTGATAGAACCTGAGAGAGAGAGAGAGAGAAGACTAGACGGTTTATATTGTTGATTTTTATATAGGGCCGCGTAAATCAAAATTCCAAAAAGTTAGTAAGCAGTTTCGCAATTTAAATCGTTTGTTAGAAGAAAAAAAAACTCTTAATTATCGTCGGAGTTGTTACTAGAGGAAGTGTTAACTGTTGGTATGTATAATCTCAAGTGAAGTCAGTTTCTTTTAAATAAAACGACACAACGAAACATCGCCTTCACTCGTTTTTAAAAAAAAACATAGTATTTTTTTTTTTTTTTTGCAAACGGTTATTTTCTGTTACTCTTTGTCTGAAAAACTCTTTCTTTCTTCTTCGTTTCATTTTATTTTTTTCTGAATTATTTTGTTTGATGGAGCCTCTTAACGTTGAATGCGATCTTCAGTCACTAAGAAAATTATATGGTTTTCTTCTTCTCCAATCAAATGCAAACAAAGATTATATACCACAAGCATTTTTGGTGAGTTTTGCGATTCTAATTTCATATAATTTCTGTCATTTATTAAATCTGACATTAGTAACTCTGAAAAAATGCGCAGTTAGATGAAAACTCACAGTTTCTACTAAAACGGTTACTAGATTCCGCGACCAAGGAACTTTTGTCTAGACAACACAAGGTTTGGCTCTGTTATTACCACCATGTTACATATTTAATATTGTTACTGCTTCTTAATCTTGGATTTGGTTATACAGGTTCTTGCACAAGCACAGTTAGGTTTGCAAGAAAAGGTTTCTACACCGAGTAACACAGTCTCAAGGGGTGTCTTCAAGTTGCCAAGTAAGGCTGGTTTAACACATGAAGTCGTTGACTCAATCGAACGAATCGAAACGCAGCTTTCTGCGTTTCAGTTTTGTTCTAGTCGCGGTGATAGAACACGGTCACACAAGTCTCCTAGTGTAGTAACTCTAATGGAAGAAAAAGAAGAAAGTTACTCATCTTCTTTAATGCCTTTTCAAAGGTTAAGTGACAAAGCGTTGATGGAACCAAGACAAAGCTATTTAAGTAGCCAGACTACAAGAACCACGAACTTAGCACCTAGCCTGAGAAGCCGAAGCTGTTATGATCCAACTTTGGCTCTTGATGATCAGATTGTTCTTGCCACGTCAAGACCTTCTCGTCCTATGAGATCAGTTGGTTTCGAGAAGCCAAGAGAGAGCAACAGAACGTCACAAAAGATGGTTAGTATGAAACCAACTTTGTTGTTGGATCAAGAAACCGAGACTGAAACAAGCTCAGAAGAACAAGAACAAGTTTCTTCAACAGATCAAGAATCAGAAGAAGTCTCATCCTCTGGCTCAAGCTGGGAAACTCATCAGGCTGAGAGTGTTACTGAGTCAGACTCATCCTATCAATCAGAGAGTGAAGATTATGATGAGAACTCACAAGTTAGTGACTCTCCTCCACGTAACAGATCAAGGGATCCTGTAAAACAGAGGAGAAAGGGGACAGGGCGGCTTAAAAGATTCAAGGAGAAGCTAGGTAAAGTGTTTCACCATCACCACTATCATCACCACCACCACCAAAAGGAGGAGGAGCAAGGCCGCAAGCCATCAGCTTGGAAGCATTTAGTGAAGAAACATCTAAAGAAAGACAAAGAGAAAGTGGCTGAGAAGAGGATGAAAGGTGTGACTACACATAACAACAAAGGTGGACAGTTTCATACCCTAGTGAAAGGGTTCATGAGACATCATAAAAGAAACTCAAAGAACAAAAAGGAGAAGAAGTTTCAAACCCCTAAGCGTCAAGGTGGTGTCAAGCTTCCCAAAGGAGGGCGTGTTAAGTTAGAAAAAACAAATTATTTATGTAATAAAGATCAACAACATGATGAAAACTAGTCCTGAAAAGTATACAAGAAAAAAAAAACACAGAACATTGCAAGTTTCATGTTACTATTTAAGTTTCATGTTTGCTCTTTTTTTTTTTGTGTGAAACAACTTCCATTAATAAAAAAATGCAGCACGACCCATCCGAGTATTACTCTCGCACAAACACGCTTAACTGCTGAGTTCTTCCGGTGCATTAATGCTAGTATGATCGCTAAGATACGTATGTAAGAGATGAATCACTTGGGAAATGGTGTCAAGTGTCCCAAAGGAAGGCGTGTAATTAGGGATGTTAATATGGTACAACCCACCCCATTTAAACCCACCCCATTTAAGACCCACCCCATTTAGAACCCATATCCATTTAGACCCATTTAAAAAGAGACCTATTAGGGCTACCCATTTAGAACCCATAAAATTTACATGTACCCATTTAAATCCATATAACCCATTTAGAGTAGATTCTTTTATTTATGTTTTGTTTTCATTTTTTCAACTTTATGAACTCTAAATAATTATTTCTCAATAATTTGTTTCACTTGATGAACTCTAGATAAATGTAGGTTTTGACTTTTGAATCTTTGATTATGAAAATTATATGTTTTTTATATGTTTGTAATAGCCTAATAGAGTAATAAGTTAATAACTAAGTTGAAGGAGACAACATATAATTTTCAAAGTAATGGTCTTCCTCTCTCGTTGATAATCAAACCGGCACAAAGTGGTGCACTTCGTATCTTCTCTCTTCCTACAAAGTAAAGAACCAATGTAAGACAAGATTACAAGAAGCAAAAAAACAAAGAAACAAAGAAGCAAAGCGATTATATTACAAGAAGCAAAGCGACTCTTACAACTTTACAAGCCACAAACACAATCAATATAAGCAAGAGATTCTAACATCAGTCAATATAAGAAAGAAATTCCGTAGCTAACAGAAACCATTATAACAAGGAAGGAGCTAATATCACCTCTATAACAGTAAGAAAAAGATGATCTACTACACCACTTTCGGAAATCACAAAAACACAATCCCCAAACTATTTGGCTGCAAGTGCTAAACAAGAACAGTAACACTGGCCAAGCTAAACTATTTGGCTGCAAGTGCTAAACGAGAACACAAGATGATAAATATATAACCATATATAATCGTGATATCACACAGTGAACAACAGATGCACTAATCTTTCTTACAATCAAAACCAGTCTCAGGGACAAACAAGCTTTTACAAGTAAACCAAAAGACACAGACAGCGAACCTCAGGTTTCAAGAAGCTGATATGAATGATTGAAAGCTACTCTATCACTTCACAGCCTCACACACACAAAACAAAATATAATATCACGTAAAGAATAGAAAACAAACAGCAATACACATTCTTTTCTATCTTTTATATCCTAACAGCAACACCAAAATAACCTCACACAATGATAGATGACAACGTAAAGCCAGGTCTTACCGAACCGCTAACAAATCCTAAATCCTGAATCAGTTCTACTGACTCGAAAACAAACAATCGAAGCTTAACTCATCTCAAAAGCAAGACGGGAAACGATAGCATAAGAAGAAGAAAAAGTACACCGAAGACGCCAGCTTTAACATCACAGATTCACAGATCAATACCTTCACAGTCTGAGGTTGGATAAACTCAGCTTGAATCCTGTAACCAAAAAAAAGAGCAGAGCACATGAGTTACAAACATAAACTAAAACTCTCAGCAAAATAGACTAACCCATTAGGCCATTACCCATCGAAATAACATGTTACTCCAAAACCAGTGATAACTGATAAGTATTGTCCATATTGGCTGCAAGTGCTAAACGAGAACACAAGTGATAAGATATTACCTCAAATGTTCAACGCACATTTGAATCTTCTGATCTTGAACCCTCTCCTCCAGAAGTACTTGTAGTCTTCCTAGCATCTTCGTTGCACATATCATCAACATCTTCTATTGTACCTTCATATTTAAAACAACATAAGGTGACCTTCCCATAAAACAAGAACTATAAAGAATAGAGAGAATCGGTTACCTTCATATTCTGCAAATCCTCGCAACCAATTACGAGTACAGAGTAGAGCTTGGACGTTCTTAGGAAGCAAGCGACTTCGGTATGGAGTTAACACCCGTGCTCCAATGCTGAAAGCTGATTCAGATGCTACTGTGGTAATAGGGATACTTAGTATATCACGCGCCATCATCGCTAAATCACCAAATCGAGCTTGGTTTTCTCTCCAATAGTTTAATACATCCAACTTGCGAAAAGACTTTCTATCTAGCCTCTTCTCATCCAGATACACATCTAAATGTGTTCTTGTGTTTCCTACATTACTTCCAAGGCTTCTTTCCAATTCAAAGAGATCCTTAAAACAAAAAAGAGTAAGATGTTTAGATCCTTAAAACGACAATGCAAAAAAGAGTAAAGATGCTTGAAACTTACATTGTCTAAATCATCTTCAAGAGGAGATTCATTTACTAGATCCTGTGGAGTTGGTGTAAATGAAGAACCAGAAGAATTGCCCCAAGTCCCAGCTTGATACTCTTTATAAAGTTCAGTCAAATTAGTCTTAAGCTCCACAGTTTTTAAAGTAGAGGTAGAAGGATCAACTCTCTCATAAGCTTTCTCAAGAATATCCAACTTCAGCCTTGGATCAAAAACTGCTGCCATAGCCAAAATAATGCTGTAATCCTCCCAATACTTAGCAAATTTAACTTGCATTTCCTTAGCCATCTCCTTCAAATCAAAATCATCACAGCTCGCAAAATGCCTCAGTAATAATTCAATCCTCCAAACTTCCATGAAGTACACATTAGATGTTGGGTACTTTGATCCTGAAAAGAGATTAGTAATTTGACTGAAAGGTTTCAGCAACTCACTTATTTTTTGCCCACGATCCCACTCTCTTTCAGAAGGTAACCATCTGTAGTGCCTGTCAAAAGTCGCCAAGCTTTGAAATGCTTCCCTAAGCTTCAACGCTCTAACGAGCATTCCATAGGTAGAATTCCATCGAGTGGTGACATCAAGTGATAAACCAGAACTATCACGAATCCCCACTCGCTCTACACATGCTGCAAAGGCTTGAATTCTTGTTTGAGATCCTTTCACATACCTCACGCTTTCTCTGATGTTAAGCAAAAGGTCTTTCGCCAACTCCAAGCCTTCTTTCACTATCAAATTCAAGATATGAGCGCTACATCTGACATGTAAGTACTTTCCATCACTCAATAAGCCATAACCACTCATCATCTGAAGCTGTCCCTTGAGGATCCTCTGCATACAATCATTGTTATTAGCATTGTCTAAGGTAAGAGAGAATACCTTCTTCTCTATACCCCATTCCATCATACACTCCAAAATCTTGTTAGCAATCACTTCTCCTGTGTGTGGAGGCATCAAATCACAGAAAGCAAGAATCTTACTCTGCAAGTTCCAGCCATCATCTATGAAGTGGGCAGTAAGACATATGTACCCCATGCTATTAGGACGAGATGTCCAAAGATCAGAAGTAAAGCAAATCCGACCAGTGTGTCTAGCAAACACTTTCTTCAGCTTTTCCTTTTCTACTTCATACTTCTTATAAACATCTGCTGCAGCCGTCTGTCTACAAATGGGCTGGCAGTCTGGATTCAGATACTTGTCTCGTGCTCTAACCTTCTCGTACTCTATGTATCTGAATGGAAGATCATGATAAATGATTATCTCACTAACCTTCTCACGATCTATCTTCTGATCATATGCAACCTTATCTTCCTTTGAAGGCTTCTTTGGACAAGTATCTAAGTGGCGTTGTAGATGATGAGTTCCACAGCTCACATTCTTTTCGTTACGCGTCACAAACTTCATACAACAATGCAAACATCTGGCCCTCTCTCTGCCATCAACTTCTACCCCCACTGATTCAAAATCTTCCCAAACCCGTGATGTTTTACGTCTCTTGCGTGGAACTTGAGCTGATTCCCCAGAATGAGTTTCACTTTGCTGTTCTTCTAGTTGTGTAGCTTCTAAATGTGAAGCTTCCAAATTTATCTCAGCTAGAGCATCTTCTTCATTCATGTCTATAAAATCATCCATGCTGTAATTAAAAAATAAGAGGAAAATATAAACTCAAAGTCTCAGAGAAAAGTCACAAATCTAAAACTCATATACTTAAGCAGATGATATAAACGTTGTGTCCCATGATTGCAAAGTTAAGACAAATCATACATTTTTAGATAGGCAGTGCCAAGTAAAAAAAAAAAAACATGTGTGTAAGCTACTCGTGAGCTATATATCCTCTTTGAGCAGTTAAGACAAATAACCAAACGTGTTTATATTTTCTATTCACAAGGTGTGCTAAACAAACCTTCACAAGAACTTGAGAGAGAGCAATCATCACAACCAAACCTGAACGACTTAAGCTAGTAATATGATTCCTAATAACAAGCAACACACACAATGATAGATGACAATAACAAATTAACAAGTGAAAAGAAAACCTTCACAGTCTGAGGTTAGAGAATGGAAACTATGCGTGGAGCTTGAGCTGATTCATGTAACCAAAAAAATAGCAGAGCACACGAGAGTTACAACACACGAGACACAAACTAGCTTGGGCATCTTCTAGCTTGATACAATATAAATAACAGAACACCTTCAATAAGCTACCAGGTCCAGATATGTATTAGCGTTCAACTATAAAAGCACATATTGCACAAAAATCTGAAAGAGGGAGCACCTTTACTGACACTGCGTCCAAGGTTGTTGTTTTCACGCAAAGGGTCTATAACATTGAAGTGTTTGGCAACAAAAGGATTCCCCTGTGTCTCTTGAGCAACAGGGTTAACTGCATAAGCTCTACTACAATCTTTAAGAGCTCTTGAACTTATTTGAAAAACAGCAGATAACAACAAGAGCTCTGTATCAGATAATTAAAAAGAGTAGAAGCCATTCCTGTAACCAACAAGTATCAGAATCTCTTAAAGCAACTAAACAACTAACAATTTCTCTCTTCACCAAATCCAAAAACAGAGAGAGTTATTACTTACGACGAGAAAAAGAAGAGATGGGTTTGGTCTAAGCTCGAGGACGAAGAGATGAGAGAGCTCGAGTACGAAGAGAAGCGAGAGCTGAAAGGTTCAAAAACAAATCAATCACGTCACATGGGTTGGTAGAGATTAGAGAATCACAGCAATGTAAGGAGAAGAGAGAAGAGAGTAGAGAATCACACCTCAGAAACGGAAAACGGAGACGATGGAGATCAGAGACGGTGGAGATCAGAGAGTCGACACTTGCTCAGATATGTTCTTCTTTGCTTCTGCGATAAGCCGATAACCCTTGCTCAGATCTCAAAGTTCTGTCAAACGTGAAACGACAACGTTTACTACAAAAAAAAACATTAATGGGTTAAATGGGTTACCATTTATGTTAGTTTAAAACCCATATAATAAATGGGTCATATATGGGTTACCCATATAAACCCAATTACTTAAATGGGTTTAAATGGGCATTTAATTTTTACTGAACCCATTAAAAACCCGCGAATTCTAACCCATATTAACATCCCTACGTGTAATGTTAGAAAAAACAAATTATTTATGTAATAAAGATCAAGAACATGATGAAAACTAGTCTTGAAAAGTATACAAGAACCATAAAATAAAAACAGAACAGTTTTCATGTTTCTCTTATTTATTTGTGACATAACTTCCATTAAAATAGGTGCAACACGAGGACTTCCCGAGAAATCACCCATATTAGTACTAAAGCACGTTTAACTGCAGAGTCCTGATGAGATCTGGTGTATTAGTACTGGTATGATCGCTTAGAAACCCATTTAATTAAGAGATGAATCACTAAGCTTTAGATGTAGTAGCCTCACAGCACATCTTACACTTCATATCAAGCCAACTATTTCCATAAGTACACCGATCACAAAGCCAATAAGGACCAGCAACATTATCATAAGACTTCACCTTCACATCCACAATACCATCTTGCAAAGTCTTGATGAAATGATAAAAGAAGTTACCAACATTACTTGTAGCAGTATTCAAGTTATGCCTAAACTTACAAACCACCAAAGCATCAGCTGCATAAAACGCTGTTTCAGTTTCCTCCAGCAACGTCTTTAAGTAGCTTTGCAGCGTCGTCATCGCAATGTCTTGCAAGAACTGGAGATACTCCTTCTTTGATGTCTCATGTTCTGTGTGGAAGTACTCATAGACGCAGGTCCATTTAAGAACCTGTCTGCATTGAACAAGAAGCATAAGACCTTCTCTCACAATCCTAACGTCTTGCTCTTTTAAACTATCTGGATTCTTGGTTATGTAATCTTCAAAGTCTTGTAGATCGTCTTGTGCTCCTTCCATTGCAACCTTACGCTCCTCCCAGCGATCCACCACGGAGACTTCTACCTCTGTAGATAACCAATCAGAGACGTTGTTGCATGTCACTGGTCTGTGTGACTCAAAGCTGCATCTCCAGCAGAAAGTGTGACCACAGAGACACACCACGTTTAAACCAAACTCTTCAACATCGTTCGGTTGATGAAACTCAATGACGTAGTTGCAGTCCCGTGCGGGACAGTTCTTGATCATCAAACCCTTATTTTCTTCTATGTAAGATCTCAAGATGTAACTCTCGTAGAAGTCTTTATATTTTTCCGTTAGGTTCTTGATCGTGTCTGGTCCAACAGAAGCTAGACAGTTTTGGTGAGGACATGAGATTATAGTTTGGTTCTTCTCTAGAGAGTCAAGGTACTCTCTCCAACATGTTTTGCAGAACTTGTGAGAGCAACACGGCGTGGAGATTAAACCATCATCATCATCATCATTCACATGATTAGTTATAAGTGAACTCAAACCTGATTCAGACAATAACTTGTCCTTGTCTTCACCTAAACCTGATTCCTTTTTTTCTTATTTTTCCAGAGAGATGTGTTGTTTCCTCTACAGTCTAGGGTTATCCTTTTTTTACTCTCGTATGTAGATGTTAATAAAAATAAGGATATAGAAGACAAAACTTGTGGATGTGGTCCCTTAGCGTTATCGATTAATATGCTAAGGGATATCCGTAAAGTCCCTTAAACATGTCACAAACTCTTATGGACCACATAGATGGAGTGGGAACAACTTGAAGAAGTTGGACTTAGACCTAGTTAAATTGAAACACTACATTTATATGTGTAACATAAACCTATTTGTGTATTTGTATATAATCAATGATTTTTGTGGTATGATAATGATGTAGACAGAGCATTACAATTTACTCTGTTTTTTTAGCTTTCTAGTGGTTCTTGCATTGGTAGTAAACCATTAAAAACGTAAAGGTGGTCTCAAGTTTCTGACAAAAGAGCTTCGAAAAGAGATGAAACACATTATTTTAATCCAAACAGGTAACAACAAGGCATGACAAAAACTAGTCTCAAAAAGAAATCAACAAGAGCAAAAGACTCCTAAAACTTCACATATTTAAGAAGAAACTTAGTTAAGAAACGAATCACTTGGCTTCTACACAAGAGATTCACAGCACATCTGACACACCTTATGAAGCCAAGTGTTTGCATAGGTGCAACGGTCACATAACCAACAAGGAGAAAAATCATCATAGTGCTTCACCTCCACAACATCCAAACCATCTTTTAAAGCCTTGGAAAAGTTATAAAAGTAGTTACCAATGCTGCTCGTCACAGCCGAAAGATTACCCTTGGAGCAAGTAACCTTTCTTGTTTCCTTCTTTAAAGTCCTTGCGTAACGCCTGACAAGTTTGTTTGCATAGTCTCGTAAGAACCTCAGAAACTCCTTCTTCGAGTCCTCGTGCTCTAAGTGGATGTATTCATACACACAACTCCATTTAAGAAACTGTCTGCATTGAACAATCAGCATCAGCCCTTCTCTCAAAACCATGTTGTTGGATTCCTCAAAGGCTGTGAGCAGTGATTTAGCTTTTACTAATGAAAGCTCAAAGCGTTCGAAACACGAAATATCCAGTTCTGCTTTGGGTTCAACATAGTCTCCACAAGCTTCTGATTCCGAGTCGTGTGATTCTTGTGACTTCATACACAACCAACAGTAATAACCACTACAACAAAACACAAAAAAATTAGTAATATAGTAGAACCTCTATAAATTAATAATGTTGGGATATTACACCAAATTTTATTTTTTCTTAATTTAGAGAGATATTAATTTATCGATATACTAATCGAATCAAAAACTTAATCTGGGACTATAAAATTTTATATTATTTTATAGAGATATTTAGTGTATATTAATTTATCGAGTATTAATTTATAGAGGTTCTACTGTAATAATATAATAAAGAAACATAACAATCTAAAGATTTGTTTTACCTGCAGTTAACACAAGACATGAACCGAGAGGAAAGTGAGCCACTAACAATCTCTAATGGTGTTTGGCAATGAGGACAAGGCTTAGTGTTGGTTTCGTTTAAACTCAACTTCTTTAAGTCTCTAACCAACCAATCAGAAGCGTTGTTACATGTAACAGGTGCGTGTGACTCAAGTCTACATCTCCAGCAAAAGGTATGACCACATAGACACACAACGTTTAAGCCACACTCTTCAGCATCACGATGAAACTCAATGAAGTAACTGCAGGCAGGACACTGTTTGATCTGTTTCTTGTTCTCCAAGTAAGATCTGAGAACATACTCATCGTAACAATCTTTATCCTTCGCCGTTATCGTGTCACGTCCCACGGAAGCTTCACAATTATGATGAGGACAAGAGATTGTGTCTAGGGTTTTCTCTAGGGCGAAGAAGTTCTTCTTAAGATACTTACTCCAATAAGTTATAGAGAACTTGTGAGAGCAAAACGGTGTGGAGATTTTAACATCTTCATCATCATCATCATCGTTATCATCATCATCAAAGAACTCGTAAAACTCATCACAAGAAGAAGAAGTAGAACCGGACAAATCTTGAACCGTGTATGTCAAACCTGATTCCATCAAGAGCTTCTTCTTGTCTTCGGTCAAAGTCTCTTGAAGCAATTCAGAGTTCCAACGGAGTTTCATGAGGAGTACGGTGGCGTCAGAGTTCGAAACGCAGAAGATCTCGGAGATGGCATTGATCTGTTGATTCATCTTCTCTTTGAGATCATCTCTTGTACAAACGGAGTAGGGTCTCTTTAGATCGTCTTCCATGTCGCTTTTCTTGAAGATTTTGAAGAAGAATCTGAGTAAAGAGAGGAGGTGGATGATAGAGAGTTTAGGGCTTATCGATATAGCTTGCGTCTCAAGAGAGCTACTGGTTGGAGATTGGTTTCTTAATTTATAGGCAAGTTAGGGTTTCCTTTTTCTTTTCACCGTCGAGGTTAAGGAAACTTGGCCCATTGGGCCTTAATCTTTCTTCAAAACTGACTTGATTTGTTTTTTAGACTAGCTGATTTTTGGCTGATTTTTTTTGTTGGTTGATAACTTTATAAAAAAAAAGTTGTTAATTGAATGTGATGATTATCAGTTTCGTTTAATGAAAATTAAATAACTGGATCGTCAAAATTCAAAATTTGTCATGTGGAGTCAAAATTAAGCGTCGCGAATGATTTGTATTGATAGGTTTTCCTTTTTTTTAAATAAATTTATTAGTTGAACGTTATTGTTTATCTATTTCGTTTAATAATATAAATATTTACTTGGATGGTCAAAATTGTTTTTGGTTTGACGAAGAGAATACAAAGGGGCATGTCACATGTGTTTATCAAAAAAAAAAAAATAATAATACTATGGGCATGTCATGTCGCATGTGGAGTCAAGATTAAGTAATTAGAGTGACGCGATTGGTTCGTTTTTTCATACAAGTGACGTCACAAAGAACTTAAGTAAGGGGTATAATAGTAAAAGCACCCGAATAAGAAGCCAAACACCGACGAACATGAGAGAAAGACTGCTCGCTCGTTTCGTAGCGCATATATAGCTCCCTCAAGTCCCGCCTTTTGCTTTTCACCCTTCGTTAATATAAACTCTCTCTCTCTCTCCTCTTCGCTGGCTTAGAGGAGGAAGAGGAATTGAAAGAAAACTTTTTGACTGGTGCTTTAGAGATTCTACTGTTTTTTAATTTCACCTCACCGTTCTCCGTCGTGAAAACTCCGATCCGATTCTGTGAAATTTGATTCCATCTGGTTAGGATTTTAAATTTTACTCATCCGTTAGTATTCGGCTCAGATCTAGATATTTTCTGTAAGTTTCTCCTCGGTTAGATCGGTTCTCGAATTGCTTGATCTCGTATTAGCTTCATTGCTTTTAGACAATTCATTGTTGAATTGAATTGAACAGAGCTGAATTGGCGTATTTTTTGAATTTAATCGAAGGATCGTTAGAATCAGATGTTCTCGTTAGATTCGGATTTATTATGAACTTCCAACTTAAAACGAATTGGTGATAAATGGATTGGTCCTATCACTTTATATATTATTGACGTCTATTGAATTCCGGATGTGGGATACAAATCTGTGATTGTTTTTTTTTGATATAGTCAATTTCTTTGCCTAATTCTTTTAGGTTTACCTTTTCACTAATTTGTGTGATTTTCTGGCAGGTTTAAAGCTGTAAATTAAATGGCAAATTAAGTTCTTACAATGATCGGTTCTCGAATTGCTTGATTTGTTTCTCCGAATTGCTTGATCTCGTATTAGCTTAGTTGCTTTTAGACAATTCATTGTTGAATTGAATTGAACAGAGCTGAATTGGCTATTTTTCGAATTTAATCAAATTATCGTTAGAATCAGATGTTATTGTTAGATTCGAGTTTATTATGAACTTCCAACTTAAAAATAATTGGTGATAGGATATTGAAATCTGTGATTGTCTTTTTTTGGTATAGTCAATCTCTTTACCTTTTCACTGATCTTTTTTTTGTGTCTTGTGTGATGATTTTCTGGCAGGTTTAAAGCTTTAAATTAAATGACAAATTAGATTTTTACAATGATGGAAGTTGGATTCTCTTTTATCCACTGGCTGATCAACTCTACCTCTGATAGTCCCTTTATATTCGGATGGATTATAACCGGATCACTAGGAGTCCTCGCTCTTCTCTACATATTCCTCAAATGGCAGAACAAAACATCTCTAAACTGGGTTAAAGCCGCTGCAAGAGAGAAGAAAAAAGTCTGGAAAAGACTCAGAGTCCCACTCTCTCATCATCAATGGACCGATGATTACGGTTGTTACGGCCCTCAGCCATCAACCTGCTGCGTCTGTCTCTCCTCTCTCGTCCCGGGCCAAAACGTTTCCAACAAAGCTGCATTGAGTATTCCTGTCCACAGGTGCTCCGTGTGTGGTGTAGCTGCTCACTTTTACTGCTCAGGCTCCGCGGCGAAGGACTGCAAGTGCGTTGCGCAGGCGGGGTCTGATCATGTACGGCATCATTGGTCTGAGCGTTGGGTTAATATGGATGATAATGCTGACATGTCTGCTTTTTGCTTTTATTGTGATGAGCCTTGTGGTGTTCCTTTTATTGAGGCGTCTCCTATGTGGCATTGTCTTTGGTGCCAGCGTCTTATACATGTCAAGTGTCATATGATTATGTCTAAGGAGTCTGGTGACGCTTGTGATCTCGGGTCTTTAAGAAGGGTGATTCTCTCTCCGGTTCATGTTAAAGTTAGTGGAGAGAGTGGTGTTAATGGAGTGTTGAGTACTATTAAAAACGAGTTGGCGTCGATACGAGGGCAGATTAGAAGGAAGAGACATAGGGGTAAGAATGGGAATGGACAGTCTAATGGTGGGAAGGTGTTGGAGGATTCAGTTAGCAGTCCTGCCAAAAGCTTAGTTAATGGGATTGTAGTGAAGAAACTACGCGGAGACAGGAGCGTAGATTGTTTAAAGAAGGTCTCGGACATGCCGAATGGTGTAGGGACACCTAAGCGAAGTAAAAATGCTGCTTTGAATTATAATAAGAAGTATAGCTTGGTTGATTTGCCCCCTGATGCAAGACCGCTTTTGGTCTTTATTAATGCTAAGAGTGGAGGTCAGCTTGGTCCTTTTCTGCATAGGAGACTCAATATGCTGTTAAATCCAGTACAGGTAACAAATAAACTTCAGTTTTGTCAGAATTTCACTATAGATGTTTTAAAAATCATTTCAGAAGTGATGGCTTGAAATATTGAATTCATACTATCTTCTAATTGTATTCAATGTTGTTTTGAACTTTGTTTGTTGATAAGCATATTGATTACTGAGTCTATTTGGTATATACTATCTCTTTGCTAAATAACAGGTCTTTGAACTTGGATCTTGTCAAGGGCCAGATGCTGGTCTAGACCTATGTAGCAAAGTGAAGTACTTTAGAGTTTTGGTGTGTGGGGGAGATGGAACAGTTGCTTGGGTGCTTGATGCCATTGAGAAGAGGAATTTCGAATCTCCTCCACCTGTGGCTATTCTTCCGTTAGGCACAGGAAATGATTTATCTAGAGTTTTGCAGTGGGGGAGAGGTATTTCAGTAGTTGATGGACAAGGAAGTCTAAGAACGTTTTTGCAAGACATTGATCATGCTGCAGTTACAATGTTGGATCGCTGGAGTGTAAAGATTGTAGAAGAGAGTACAAAAATATTTCCAGCTAGAGAAAGCCACAAGTTTATGATGAATTACTTAGGTGAATTTATGAATCATTGACTTTTTTGGCCTCTGTCTTTGGATCATCAATTATAGCTGAAATTTTCTTTGTTTAGGTATTGGCTGCGATGCCAAGGTTGCATATGAATTTCACATGATGCGGCAAGAGAATCCAGAGAAGTTTTGTAGTCAGGTACTCTTGTTGGATGAAGCTAAGTATCATTGTCATTGATTTTGTAGGCATTGTGGCTTAACCCAACAATTATCCTGTTTATCTTGTTTGTTATGCAGTTTGTAAATAAATTACGATATGCTAAAGAAGGTGCGAGGGATATCATGGATCGAGCATGTGCCGATTTACCATGGCAAGTCTGGCTTGAGGTTGATGGAAAAGACATTGATATCCCTAAGGTATCGTACTCTAACGAAATCAGTCCTTATTTCCCCGTCTTGTGTGGTGTGTTCTTACAGGATCTGTCTATGTCACTTTCCTCACTGTTGTGCCTTTTTGTTCTCTGATAATTGGAAATCCTGACCACTACCGTTTAAGCATATATTAGTTAGACTGAGCATGAGAGATAATCTATAGTGTCTTGGTAAAAAAACATGACTGACAACTCCTTTTAGTTTCCGTATGTCGAACATTCTTTGATTTTCTCTGGTAACTAAGGCTAGGTTGATTTTACCATATATTAGTTAGATTGAGCATAAGAGATGTATAGTTGCTTGCCCCAAAAAAGACTGGTTGATTTTACCAAAAAAGGCTAACATCGTTGTTGTTGCCTCTAGGAACTGATGTCCCTAATTTGTTTTTCACTTCAGGATTCGGAGGGTCTAATAGTACTTAACATTGGAAGTTACATGGGAGGAGTAGATCTTTGGCAAAATGATTATGAACATGATGATGATGATAGTTTTAGCATTCAGTCTATGCACGACAAGACTCTCGAGGTTGTATGTGTCCGTGGAGCGTGGCACCTCGGGAAGCTACAGGTCTAATCTCTTCCCAAATGTCTCTTTGCTCTTCTTTATGACACTTACTACTAGCAGTATTCCTTATTCAATGTGAGGCTGAATGGATTCAACAACTTTGTAAAACGTGATTCTCCCTTTCAGGTCGGTCTTTCTCACGCTAGGAGGCTAGCACAGGGGAAGGTGATAAGAATACACGTTTCTAGTCCTTTCCCTGTTCAAATAGATGGAGAACCGTTTATTCAGCAACCTGGATGCTTGGAGATCACTCACCACGGACAGGTACATCTTTTCTCACTCTCGTTGATCATATGACAAAAATCTCAAGGCTACGAACTCTGCGTGTCTGATACCATTACGGTGATGATGATGATGATGTACGAGTTGGTTTTGTGTTCAGGTGTTTATGTTAAGAAGAGCATCAGATGAACCAAGAGGCCATGCAGCGGCCATAATGAACGAGGTCTTGCTCGATGCAGAGTGCAAAGGAGTCATAAATGCATGTCAAAAGAAAGAACTTCTTCAACAAATGGCTCTCCATCTCTCTTAGGAGCCAGGAAAAAAAATACAAAACATCTCAACAAGTTTTGCTAACAAGAAGAGTAACTTAACAGTCTTGTCTTACCCAACTAGAAAGCCCGGGTACGAGATTTTTGCTTTGTACCCTGATTTTTGTTTAATTTTTATTTTTTCCTTTGTGATTGTGAAAAGTGTAATTTGTATAGTGTGTCCATACGAAAGCCCCTGAGATTGGCTTCGCAAAGTGTTAAACTAGAAAAAGTCAGTCATATACATACATTTACTGGTTATTTTTAGGGTATTATACAAAAGCCATGGAGAACGGCTTAATTTTACCTACCCCACATCAATCGTGTTTTCATTTTCTGATATGTGAGAGCTTTTGTTTTTTTATGTGTCGTATAAGATTCAGTTACGTGTAATTTCCTCAAGAATCTATAAAGGTTATTTTTTTTAGGTTCAGCACCGAAAGCTAGAACCAACCTGGATTTGGCTGTCCAAATGTGTAAGAGGAACTAAAAACAAAGTCCACTTTCATATTTTTTCAAACAGATTCTGCTTCTTTCATACATGATTTTCAATGGTAGGGTTTGCCATGACATCACTAGGTTAAGCTTCCTCTCAAATGTGCTAACGCATTGCTCATTGATCAAATCAAACGATTTACTTCAAGTTTGTGTGTTTATAAACCTATTGTATGTCAATACATTAATAAATTTTGATCATTACCGTTCTTACTAATTAAGTCTTTTGAGATAATCCAGTATCTAGTAGTACATAGACTATTTTAAAATCATATATTTATAATTATATTTTGTGATCGAATTTCTTAAATTAGATAAATAAGCTCATTTCCATCTATGCCACTCAAAAAAAAAAAATATCTTCAGAAAAGAACAGAATATTTAAAGTTTCAGAGAAAGAAAAAACAACAAAAAAAAATTAGAGCCAAACGAAGACATATCGTTTGATTTTGTATTATCCGCATAGTATTTATATATCCAGACGTTTATTTTTAAATGTGTACATTCATTATTCTACATACTAAAAATTTTATAACGCTTGAATTTCCTTATAGAAAAAATAGCTTTTATTGTCCTTTTAATTCTGCTAGATTTGTATGGACTTTCTAGTCAATAACACTTTTAAGAAAGAAAAATAAATGTTTTTGACTTCCAAGCATTTGAAACAAAAAAACTGTTATATTAAGTCAAGATTTTTCCCCCTCAAAATCTAGTCTATTAATCCGAAAAACAATACTATTTCAGTCCCAAAATCTACATATCATTAATTACTTATCGTCATCTTGTTTTTTTTTTCCGATCGAAAAAAACGTTATATAGTCAAAAAAGAAAATAAAAAGAATCTGAACAAAAAAAACCCCACTCACCTCTCCGCACCACCATGTGAAGGTTGGTGTAGTGACAAGAAGAAAGAACTCTCTTTTTCGAATCTGAGCCTCCAAAAAAAAAAAAGACGGAGCATTTAACAGATTTGGTTTCTCAAAAGTCTCAAACTTTTCATCCAGATTCACCAAAGGTTTGTTCATTTATTTTATTGGATCCAGAAATGTTCAAAATCTGCTCAGATTTGTGTCTTATGTGTCTCTGTTTTTAGTCGGTGGCTCAAGAAAAAAAAAATTGCTGATGTCATCTTTTCAATGTGTTTCTTTTCTTGATTAAAATCAATGGTGAGGATTTGGTAGTGTGATTTTTTTTAAAAAAATTAAGTCTTCATGTCTGTTTCATGCTGCTTCAGTTAAAACCTGTTAGAGTAACAGCTTGTTTCATCAGCTTCTGTTAATTAATTAAAAGTAATGGCTGGCTGCTTAATGTAACTTTTAAAAAATTAGAGTTGTGGCTGCTTAGGTGGTAAACCAATTGGAGTAATGACTGATTTTATCTGCTTACTGTGTATATATTTATTTATTTTATATACTTTATGTTTTCTTTTGTTTGGATTATGTTGCAATTCATCCTTGCTCAGTTACTACCTGCAAGAAGAGAGATTTTATTTAGTCTCAGACATCATTTTGTCATGTCTTTTGGTAAGTTTCTTCTTGTTTTTTGAATCTGATCTCACCATGTTTTTTTTTTTGGCTCTTCTGTTATCTGAAAGGTTGGGTTGGATCTCTGATCATTATAAATCATACCTTTTAAGTATCACATTCTCACTAACCTCATGTAACCTTTAAATCTCAGTCATCATTAGTAGTTTATGTAAGCTTTGGATCCTTTTTTTTTCCCTTTCTTTGCGCTTTTCTGTCTCTGTTTAAGTGTTATGTTAGTATCATAAGCTTGGTCCACTTTGTGTGTTTATGACATCTTTTAATATGTTTTCTTTTGCAGGAGCTTGTTTGAAAGAATGCAAAATAGCCCATCTCTCTCTTCTTCTTGTCTTACAGATTGTTTCTTCTTCAGGGTGATCCTAGAATACAGTGAGAGGTCCTTTGTTGTATTAGATCTTGAGTTGTCTTGTTAGGCCTTTTTTTAATGTCTTAAGAGGAGTTGAACAGATTCTTCATCTAGGTGAAAGCTTTTTTTGTGGTCTTTTTTTTGACGAGCTTGATGGGTAAAGAGAATGAGTTGGAGACAGCAAACTGTGGAGTCAATGATCACGATTCTCCACCCGTCAAGAACGAGGAACTAGCAGCTGATAAGGCACGTTACAGTACAGACAGTGACTCTGGTTTACCAACTTGCCGTGTATGCCATTCTGTAGAATCCGACAGAAGAGGAGACACTGCCTTGGGCTTCTTGGGAATCACTCCTCCCATTCCAAAACCTCGTGAAAGCAATGCAGACGAAACAGAAGATGATGATGATGATGATGTCAGCAAACCAACAGAGGCTGAGCAGAAGAAGAGCAATGAAGTTGATATCGAAATGGGGATCCAGCAGAATCAGGATTCATTGCTTGAGCTTGGATGTTCTTGCAAAAACGACCTCGCTTTGGTACACTACGCTTGTGCGCTCAAATGGTTTCTCAACCATGGATCTACAGTATGTGAAATCTGTGGGAACTCTGCGGAGAATATAAGAAGTGCTGATTTCAACAAAGTGGTTGTTGCCTTGAGAGAAAGAACAGAATCAACCATAGATGCAGATGAAGTTGCTGCAGTTAGAAGGCAAAGACTTAGTGAGATATCATCATGGTTTGGTGGTCCACATTCCTTGAATAACAATCACAACAACAACAACAGTAGCTCTGTTGCAGCTTCTCAGGGTATGGCAGAACAGCCTTTAGATGCTGTGAACTTTGGTGTATTGCCTATGGAGAATCGTGCAACTAAATGGGCTGTGGAAGGTACTGGGATTCTACTTGCTACAGGTTTACTCACTGTTACTTTGGTCTGGCTCATTGCTCCTCGTGTTGGAAAGGTATGTTAATCTATTCAAACCGTTGTATTAGCATTTTTAATTGGTTTTTTAATGGTTTCTTTTAATATGTGCAGAGAACTGCTAGGAGTGGACTTCATATACTTCTTGGTGGTCTTTGTGCTTTAGCAATAGTCATCTTCTTCAGATTTGTAAGAAAAAAATCATCTAATATTTTGACATGATTTTCATGGCTTCTATTTTTACTAATTTACAAATTAAACTTGAAAAACAGGTGGTGTTGACTAGAATCAAGTATGGTCCAGCACGGTACTGGGCAATCTTATTCATCTTCTGGTTTCTTGTGTTTGGTATATGGGCTTCTCGTTCTTCTCATGGTGACTCTTGACCCATCTTCACCATCTCTCTCTCTCTGCTCTATGCTCTCTCTTGTAATCTTCTTTTGGAGGAAAAGAAAATGTACATTGTGTCATTGAAGAAAAATAAGCTTATGCTCATTGATTATGACGAAAATATATATGATTCAATATGGTCACAGTTCCTCTGTATCTACTCCTGTGTGTATGACCCAACTTGGTTTCCGGGTCAGAAGCCGACACCAAGTTCCCTCCGGTGTGTGCGGGTGGCCCAATACATGAATGCGTCCTGGTGATCACGTGACTCGCAGTTGTCGGAACACGTGGCGTCCGGTGAAATCACGTGACTTGAGCATATAGAGTCCGACGTACTCGTAGTAGTCATTACATCCGCCGGATAATACTTTTCCATTGTTCCTTTCTCATTGTAAATCCGACATAAAACCCAATCATCAAGCTGCAAAAATTTTCCGACAGAAACCAATAGTCACCATCATCATATATGCATTCAGACAAGAGAAGCATCTCATGTCAAAAAAGAAGTGTGCATTCATGAGCCAAAAAAGAAGTGTGCATTCATGAGCTAAACTTTATGTTCTTTAATAGTTTAGTTGTCATTTTAATTTTTTACACATATTAAGAAAATATTTAATTTTACATGTTTTTAAAATAAAAATACAATTACTTATACATCTAACCATTTTTTAACCAATAGAAAAAATAAATTCTTATATAAAATTAATAAATTTTATCTTGAAACTTTAAAATGATATTTAATTTGTGACAAAAAATCAAGTATAGAATCTCTATAATATTATTTGAGAAGTCAGTTTCCTACGTGTCGTGCTCACGTTAACTTTTAAGATTATTACTAGATTTTGACCCGCGCAACCGCGCGGATGTTTGTTTTCGTTTATAGTTAGTTATATAAATAATTTGTTTTCACTTGTAAATTGGTATATATTATAGTAATCACATATTTATGATATGTATAGTAAATTTTTTAAACATAATAATATTATATAATGAGTGTTTTAATCAAATAGATTTTTTCAAATTTTCTATATTATACATGTTTTTCAAACATGTGTTTGTTTCTTCTTATATATTTTATTGTTTATTAGATTAGTATTTCATTTTTAGATAAAGTAATATAAATAAAGTTTGATTAAATATTAGTGTATTTTAATTTGCAAAGAAAATATAAACTTAGAAGAAATTTTTGCTAAAAACTAAACTTATAGCTTCGTAAATTAATATTATAAATAATTTTATTAAAAAAAAAATTTTTAAACAATTTTTTTTAAAACAATATAATTTTAAAAATTTACATCATAATAAATTTATCTAATATATATAGCGTGTAAATTTTGTTAAGGTATATAAATATTCCATATTACTAATCTGTGATTTTTGTTAATATATTGTAGATGCATTTAACTATTATTGACATATTTCCTTATAAATAATAGAAGATTCCTAAACT